ATTTACAAAACATGGAATGAAAGATTATTTAACTCACGAAAGAATGCTTTTGAACATCTTTCGCAGCGAAGGAAAAGTAAGGGAAGAACACTTTTATTTCCTTCTCTTTGGATTTCATTACTGTCCCGAAGACCCCTGTCGTTGAGCGCAAGGCTTAAAACAGTGATGTAAGAATACAACGAGCCATCTTCCTAATCTTTTTTTTTTTTAAGAGCCTCGTATTTCCTGTCAGTTGTCGCTAACAGAAATTGTTTAAAATGTCTGGATGAGTACATATCTGTCGATATGAGAAAGTAAAGGTACATCTAATTGACGCCGTAAAAGGAGTTGTAGCTTTCTTCATTAGTGGCAATTGAGATCAGACAAAAAGGCCAAAAAAATTAAAATAACCAGCATTGTCTTGACCTTAAAAGCAGCTTTTGTTCTAAGGTACAAAAAAAAATACAGAGCACTTACTCTTCTTTTAAATTTTTTAACTGATGGTGCAGAAAAATAACCTACCCATCTCAGATATACTGTAATTATTGTGCAGTTCAGTGCGATCAGACATGAGCGAGACCAAGAATTGTGATCTTATCGTCAGTTAAGAAATATCAGTTGTAAGAGCGCAGTAAAGGTGCAACCGTCCGACTTCTCAGTTTTTCATGAAATCAGGCACAGGAAAAACTGAAACATTTTACGATAACATGGACGATAGTCCATTCGCTGTTTCAAATGCAGAAGTCCTTCTAAACTGACTCTGACGACGAATTAAAAGTACCTTTTTTATTTAAGATTATCAGAGTCAAGCTTAGGATGATGACTTCCGCTCAGGTTGTCAGCCAACGATTTATGTCATTCACAACAATCATTTTCGAGTGTACTCTCCCTAATGGAAAAACGATCTTGACGATAAACAAAGGTAGCCGAGAGTCGCTTCTAAGTCGACTAAATTTGTTGTAAATAGATCATTTTTAACCGAAGAATTAAGATTACTTTTCATATTGTATAAAACTCTGTCCCATACCTCAATTTTTTCGGCTCCGTCAAACTTAAGACCCTAAAATCCGCGATATCATCAAAAAGAAGTTTTCTCAGACTCTGCGCGGACAATTGCTCAGGAGAGATGGTCTGGGAACTATATGACTGCGGCAATCGTAACTTCTCAACACCACAATTACTGATAAAAAAAAAAAGGCGATTTATTGACGGTGAACGATGTGGGTTGAAACTTTAAAAATAAACAAATAATACAAAATTACAACAATTGATTAAGTAAAGGTGATAGTAAAGAAATACACTGAGCTAACTTGAAACGACAATATTTACAATGTTACGATTACTGGAAAACTGTGCTTGAGGGAAAAACACTGTCCGAAGACGAAATGAAGAATAAAGGAACTGCTTGAGAGCGAACTGCGACTAGCGCGACTACCGAAAATAAAGGGCCCTGAACAGAGAAAACTAAGTTTATATATGTACGAAAAACTAAAATTAATGCATGCGAAAACGACTAACTGAAAATTTAATTGACGCTTATAATTGCGAAAGAAACAATAATGAACGAAAGTATGTGATAAAGAAAACAACAGAGGCTATTTAACCGGTGAAAAAACACTAACAGACGATGACAAACAGTAAAGACACAAACGAGACACCCTAATTAATGATTAAATACATTCTGCACGCTAAGATCTTACAAACTATGCTTAAAGAAAAACCCTGGGGGAAAAAAGCAGAAGAAGCTGTATATGCGCTGTACAAAAGTAACGTTTATGTAAAGAAGGAGATCATAACAGACCAAAACGGACCACAGATATTTGAGGGTAAAGAAATGAGACGTGTAGAAATTTACATTCATTTTCATTTGTCATTAAAAAATTCTGGGAAGTGAATGAAGGAAATCTTAGTTCGCTACACAACTTGGTTCAGCGTAAAATTTCCGTACAGCCCCATACTATTGTAAAACAAATCTGTTTTCCCAATGGCAATGTATTGTTTTTGTTATTTTTTTCTCTATCCAAGAACTGAATGCATAATGTAGTATGGGGCTGTGCGGAAATTTTACCGAGCGGATTTCTATGGAGTGTCCTAAAACTAAAACCAGATTGAGTATCTAAGTAAGCAAAAAATGAGAACGTATGTAAGAAAAATTAATAAATCTGCCGCAAGCTTGAAAGTAATTATCACGAAATCGCGATTTTTTTTTCTCAGTTTTCAATTGGGTTCACTGAAAAAGCGACGTGAGTTTCTTTTTCACCAATCGCAAGGAAAAGTTACAAAAAACCACACTGAGAAGTTCTGAAGCTCAATCACTTTCGGCACTTCTTTGAAAACCGTATAAGTCAATTAGGAAGGCTAATTTCTGTTCCAAGACATGCTCTTTAGTGAGTCCATTAGTGCCTGTCTAATGTGTTTCATCTTCCAGCAGTAAATCACAGGATTCAGTGATGAATTTAGAAAAACCAGAGTCACTGAGAGGAGATAACATTTTTTCAATGTTGTACTCGAGCCGTAGATTTTAATGGAAGCCACGCAGACGTAAAAAGGAACATAGCAAAGTAAAAACACTATATATATGTAGAATACACTGACAGCAGACTTGAGTTGGCGGGCAAAATCTCCCATTTCATCGATGCGTTCTCTTGGCTGTATTTGCAGAGACCGCATGTGAACTTTGTGGCGTCGAGCAACTAAATAAATGTTGATGTAAATCATTGCTGTAAGAAGAAAACAAATAACTCCAGCAGCTGAAAGAATTAAGTTCTGAGCGCTGAAAGGTGCCCAAAGTATCATAAGCGAAACAAACAGACCCAGAAGCCAGTTTGATATGATAGCAGCAACAACACGTTTGTGGGTCACAAATTCCTGGTATCGCAGATGAAGATGAACGGCTAAGAACCTGTCTACACTAACAGCGACAACACCCATGAACGAAGCTACGGAAAAAGTAATGTTGATTATCATGAAGGCCGTGAACGTATTACAGTTAGGATTGCTCTGTTGTACCCAGTTCACTTGCAGTGACGAATAAAATGGCTGAACAAACAGACCAACGCCAACATCAGAAACTGCAAGACTCAGCAGCAATGTTCTCAGAGTCTTTGACAGCGTCGAGGTTTTCCGTATCGCGTAAATCGTCATAATATTCAGCATAATAGCCGTATAAGTTAAGAAAATGTTCAGGACACAATTAGCAAAGTTAGTCCATCGGAAATCGCTGATTTCGATAGCGGAGGGAAAATACTGCATGAACTCCTCGCAGAACTTTTCATTCATTATTTTATCGCAACTACGCTCCACAAAAAAGGGGGTTTTACTGTTTAAATTGCAGTCACTTTGTTCGGAGTTTATAACAGCCCACCTGGGAATTAAACCATAATTATTGTTGTCATGGCTATAAATAGAACCTTTTATGAAAATTCAGCTTCTTCACATTTCAGAGATGTCTAGTACATAAAACAAAATGATTTGATGTCTGCAGCCATACATGAGGACCATGCTATCATTCCAAATTCAAGAGTTCCTTTAAACTAATACAGAGACTAAAAATCCTCGAACTGTCTAGGCATTAGGTTCGGCCCATTCAAAAATTATATTGTTTTTGTCCTCCTTGACTTCATGACTACCAGATTTAGGCCGAAATATGGAACAGAACCTCTGCAAATATGAATGTTGTTAATGAAAAATGACAACGTCGTGTTTTAACAGTAGTAATACGATAACGGCAAACGAGCAAATGGAACATCTGCGTACGATACTTGACGAAATCAATAAAAGATGCAGCAAAATTAGTAGTTGCGGGTCATCTGTTAAGTTTTTTAAAAAAGACATTTTAATTTTAATTAAAGAAGATGTTAATTTTTTTTCAGAGGCTTAGCGTCTGAAAATTTGCTGGAAAGAAGCCAGAAAAACTCCAGACTTCGATGGGATTCGAGCTCGTCATTCACAGAGTTTTTTTGGCGTTCTTGCCTATTGAACTTTGAAGTAGAGTCGGAAGTAGAAAAGTGAATAATAATCAGGGTCTATGAATTGTAATTCTTCGGTTACATTCATTAAATCTGTAAACCAGAGTAGCATCAAACCATGTCTGATTGTCCACCTGGTTGCCGTGTGAACTTTAATATATTTTAGTGAATCATTTGTTTTCGGGGTTTTCCGTATCAGACTTCTCAGACTTCTCAGATTATGCGATTTAAGCGTGTGGTTTTTACACAGTACTGCTGGAAAAACTACAAAGTTTCCAACGCACTTGCTAAGTTCAATAAATATTTTGTTTCGCGACCATCTTGTTGTGTTGCATTCTTTTGTTGTCTTTCATTGTCTACTGGCTTTCTTTCATTTTTTGTGTTTTGTCCAGTATGTGCGTGTGCGTGTGTGCGTGTGTGTGCGCGCGTGTGTGCGTGGTAACCTAAGTAAAGCTGCCCTACCTTTTAAGCCCTCAGCGGTTATTACGTGTAACCTAAACTCACTCCATTTTTCAAGTAATGTATGTATTTTTTTATCGTGTAAATTAAAGTAGGGTACAAATAAACAAAGTTGTTGTTGCCTCTGTGGTATTTCAGTCCTTATATCCGGCAATTCTTAAAAATTGTTTGTTGAACCTTGAAAATATCTTTCCCCATTTAGTTTCCCATTTACTTTTTTAATAAGAAATCGGCCCTAAAGTAATACAGAGGGTAAGTTTTTGCCACCGTGAAGAACTTTTAAGGACATTACAGGTAAGAAGAAAGAAAAGATTCAGCTGGTAAATGAATTCAAAGCAAAGCGGATAACGGAGCCCGTAGGTGAGTTTAAAGAGTAGTATGAAAAAAATGCTAGAGTTTATATGCAAGTCTTCCAGGAGTTATACCATCCAGAAGTATGCTCTGAAATCCTATAACTTCTTTTACGCTGGGATGAGCCGCAAATGATCGAGAGATCCTGGGAACGAAATGGTACCCAGCGGTCGTTCACTGTCTCTATAAAACCGTCATGTAAGGAGGCACGTTTCTTCCTCCGAGAATAAAATTCAACATGGCGGCTAGCATGAGGAAAATGTAGTGAAGTCTTTTAATACTTTTTACCTTCGTTCTAAATGAGAGTATTGTCAATATTAAGGAAGTTTCAACTCCAGAGAACGTGTAAATTAATGGCAGCATCCCTGAGTACGTCCAAACCTACAGCAAATGTTTATCTGCAAGTTGTCGGAACAGAAACTGGCGACACAAGTCCATCGTTATATCTCTTTGCTGAATCTCAGAGGTATGCTGATGTCTGATGCTCAAAATGAATATGATATTTATTGTTTATCTTAATTTTTTCTCTCTCTAGGCATTTAGTTACCTTAAATATCTATTTTGACCTTAAATTCGAAGTGACATTTGAAAAAAAAATAGGATTTATTGACTGGGTGGTCGATGGAGGGATTTGTTGTTATTCGATTGACTAATAACTTGATTGACTGAATAACTGCATGATTGATTCACTGGTTCACATTGCTGTATTGCTGTTATGCACAGATATCTTTTCAACTGTGGAGAGGGAACTCAGAGATTATGCTTTGAACACAAACTAAAACTCTCAAGGGTGAACAACCTTTTCTTCACGCGGATATGTTGGGAGTACATTGGAGGTCTGCCTGGAGTTGCAATGACAGTGAGGGACTTTGGAAAATCAGACATTCGTCTTCATGGACCCAGCACCTTGTCTCATTTCATTCATGCCACAAGATTTTTCTTGCATCATGAAAACCTGAAGTTTGATTGTGTTGGATTCACAGGAACAGATAAGGACAAGTATGAAGACGAAAATTTAACAATATGGCCAGTTCTTCTGAATGGTTAGTACTATTGTGTATTTTTATTTTGCATTTGTCATGTGTTCCGGTAAAATTTCCGCACAGCCCCATACTATTGTAAAACAAATCTGTTTTCCCAATGGCAATGTATTGTTTTAGTCATTGTTTTCTCTATTCAAGAACTGAATGCATAATGAAGTATGGGGCTGTGCGGAAATTTTACCTGTGTTCCTTCAAAGTGTGTACATTTAATTGCTTTCTTCCTAGTTTATTTGCCATTAATTGATTTGATGTTAATACATGTTAACCAAGGCAGAAAATAAGTTGAGCTTGCAAAGTTAACCCTTTAATTCTCAAAAGTGATCAACATGTAACTTCTCCCTATTATATCCATTTATTATTTGGCAAACAGGTAATGAGAGTATTCAAATGTATCAGGTAGAAGTTGTTACCTTGATCTCACAATAAATTCTTGTAACCAATTTAAAAGGAAATGTGTAGCAGCAAGAGGGAAGAATAGTCCATTTTACAGTTGTGTGCTTGGTTGCCAAGCCTTTGTACAGGAATGAGGCTAAGGGTGACCTTGTTATGATACAAACCTTGCTGCTTTTCAAATGCAAATTACTTTGTTATCATGCAAACTACATACTGGTCTCTATCACAACAAGGTCACCTTCAGCCTCACTCCAAATCAAAGGCTTGGCAACTAAGTACACAACTGTAAAATGGCCTATTAACAATCAGATCTTGGGAGTTAAAGGGTTAACCCTTTATATCCTTATATCAGTATGCATGTTCTCCATACTTACGTCCTTACCTTTGCCAAGGTGCTGACAATGAGAATTTGTTTAACTATCAAGAGCTGCTTTAATAGGTGACAATATCCTTTATTCTCATGGCCTTAGTATTTGATTTAGGGGTGATATTGGAAGGAGAAATTAGATCCTAATCACTGTTTTTTAAGGGGTTTCTTGGGGTTGCCAATAGAGACACATAAAACTACTGTTTCAAGGCTCTCTCTTTCAAAATACCTTGCAGATGGTGCTTGGAAATTAGGTGATGATTCTTCTCCTTCAAGTGATGTGGATGATCTGCCATCAGTTAAAAAAGCAAAGATGGATAGTCCTGAGACATTAACTGCAGTCTGCTACATCTGCCAGCTTTCCACTCTACCTGGGAAGCTTTTCCCCAAGAAAGCCATTGAGCTTGGTGTACCAAAAGGACCCTTGTTCAGGGATTTTGTTGCTGGAAAGATTGTCACGCTAGAAGATGGACGCAAGGTCAGTTTTAAATCTCAATTGGACATTGTTTGTTCAACAGTACAATAAAAGAAACACTATTATTTTCACTAAAGAAACTTTCATTAAATGTGGTACTATATAATAATCTAAGGAAATGAAATTTGTGGGTTAATTTTATCACTCATAGTCAACTTAAATATAACAGAGTATGGTTTTTTTATACATAACAATTAATTATCTGAAGATTTCTTGGCTATCTGATTCAAATATTATCAACATCACAAATTTACCCCTTGTTGTCTTGTTTGAGGGTATGTTAATGTGTTCCTACTCTTGTCAGATCGCAGTTCATTAAAGATATAAAAGATATTCCATTCCATTTTTTTCCAGGTGCATCCTGAGCAAGTCATGGGACCTTCTCAGCCTGGCTCTGTTTTTCTCATCATTGAATGTCCCACAGTGGCATTTATACCATCATTAGTCTCCAATGAGCAGCTCAAAAAGTACTGGGAGGGAGGGCCAAACTTAACTCCTGTCATTATTGTACACTTGACACCAATGGATGTTTTCCAAAATGAAGAATATAAAGATTGGATGAAAGGGTTGGTAGTGTTCATTGTAGTTCCTGTAATGAATTTATTTCCTATTAGTTTATGAATAAATGATTTTGAATAAGAAGTATGAATGCCAATAACCTTAGGAGAGTAGTCCTAAAAAGTCACACTGTTGTCAAAATTAACCCTTTAACTCCCAAGATCTGATTGTTAATTCTCTCCTCTAGCTGCTACACATTTCCTTGTAAATTAGTTATGAGAACTTGGTGCTAGATCAAGATAGCAACTCCTACCCAATAAGTTTTGATATTCTCATTACCTGTTTGCTGAATAATGTATGGATATTGTAGGGAGAAGTTTTATGTTAATCACTTACCGACATTTTAACAACTTGAGGTGAAGTCATCATTGGAGAAATTATGACTTTAATGCAACTAACTGAAGAAGTGAATCGTTTTCTTCAGCAACATTTCTTCAACCCTTTAACTTCCAGATCAAATTTGTAATTCTCCTTACTGTCAGTGATTCAATTCTTATAAAGCTAGTTCAGAGAATTTAGTATTGGATCAACTAATTATTCCCAAAGTGATATTTTTCTTTATTCTCATCACTTATCTGGTTGATATTGTATTGATATTGTAAGGAGAAATTCTGTCTTGGTCACTCATGGGAGTTAAAGGGTTAAGGGGCTATCCACACATAGACCAATGATGCAAGACAGTTATTCTTTCATTTTTTGACAGGCAGGACAGTCATCAATTGTTATGTGTACCTCTTGTTTTAAACCATGTGCAGTAAATTTGTGGTGGGAAATATTGACATAATTTAATTATTATAAAAAACCAGGTTTGGAGACAAGGTGTCCCATTTGTTGATTAACAAGCATGTGTGTATGGCACCCCTGGTGTTTCAGTCTCAAGGAACTGTTCAGTGTAAATTACACACCATTAATCCAGAGATTTTTCCCCTATTGGAAACCATGGACACACCTGTAAGTATCATTTAATACAATGATTTGTAGCATAGATTGGAAATTGTAAAATATAGCAAACCCTGGAATTAGTACTGTGGATGCAGCTCAGTGGGACTTCAAATGGTTCATGTCGAGATAGTCATAGGTAGAGATGCTGATGCTCACACAAAGTGTCTATCATGATAGGTTCAAATGTATTATTATACAATTTGTAACTGCTCACATGTTTTTTTGCAGGAAATAAAACAAGATGCCTTACCAAGGAATTGCTTTCCTGGGGAGAATTTACTCAAGTTTTATCTTCGAGAAGGTAAACAACAAGGGTTTGATAGGTCTGAGGTACTACAAAAGTTAGATGTGGACACAGTGATGAAAGAAACTCAAGCACTCTTAAATGAGCAATCTATAGAGTTGTTATGTGATAAAGGCTTTGAGAGAAGAAGTACTGAAGAGAAGGAATCATTATCAGTAGCTGGTACTTCCAGATCACTACCGACTAGCAGCTCCTTGGTGGCAAGTGACTTAATCAGAAGTCCTCCTACAAATAGACTTGCAGAAAGTAGGTATAGGAATGTTCTCAGAGATACCTTGGACACTGTTGGAGTACCTCTATCAGGCACTGAAAGAAGTGGTTTTACTTTGAGTGAAATGATTCAAATGAAAGTAAAGAAAAGTGCATGGGAAATGCAACACAAGGATTATGAGGTAGTTTTCTTGGGAACTGGGGCATCTATTCCATCAAAATACAGAAATGTCAGCTCTACATTGATCAATATGAGGTAAGAAAAATGAGAGTGGAAATGAAGGAGAAAAATAAATAATATAGGAGCTTTGCCCCACCTGGTAAAAACATTCAGATTAAATAATTCACATTAATTTGTGATATATGATCCACTGAAATCTTCTTTATCCTCAGACATCCTGGTTTCCTTTTGGTTTATCCTTGCATCTTTCCAGTTTGCCAACCTTGACAAAATTAACTTAGAATATTTAATGGTTTTTTCCAGGACAATTTTCATCAACCTTACAAGTAGTTGAAAGGATGATCATGTACATTATAAAACCTCCTCTGTTCTTTAATTGGTTCTTTTTCATCACTAGACCACACATCTCAAATTAACAAATAATTTCCAAGTTGATTTGTGCACATCCAGTAAACAATGGAAAACAGCTGCCATCCAAATGTGTTACAAACAAAGAGTTGGCATAGAAGCTGCAGTTGATAGTGTCACTTACACATAAAACATTTGTTTCTGTATTTAATTTCTTGAAAGTTTTAGTGAATACAACAAGCAACAGTGGCACAGAAACCAAGTTACGTGCAAGTTTTGGGTTATAATGTGACAATTGTGTAATTGAATTTGTGAATAGCGAGAGGGATTCCATACTCCTTGACTGTGGTGAAGGTACATATGGGCAGCTCTATCGACATTATGGTAAATATGTGGACCGTGTACTGAGGCGACTCAAATGTGTTTTCATATCTCACATTCATGCTGATCATCACTTGGTAAGATAATAAAGATTTATTTTGTTACAATAACCATGAATGATCTACCAGTCATTTAATAAGTCATTTAACCCTTTAACTCCCATGAGTGACCATGACAGAATTTCTCCTTACAATATCAATACAATATCAACCAGATAAGTGATGAGAATAAAGAAAAATGTCAATTAGGGGATTATAAGTTGATCCAATACCAAATTCTCCAAACTAACATCATGCACATTGTGTAACAGACAGTAAGAAGAGTTTCTAATTAAGGTATGGGGGTACAGCAAAATACTGTTGACCTGCATTGCCAGATGCAGATGAAAAAATGTAATCAGGCTTCTCACAGAGAGTGAAAAATATCCTTTTGTCAGTCATCAGGTGTTTATATATGCAGAATTTTATCAATGGTAGCATTATGGAGGAAAATGTCTGTGTAATGTAAATATCACTGTGCATTTTTTCCCTTTTGTTGGAAACATTTTAATTTGTGAAGAGCACTTCCTATAGTGAGATTTACAAAAATGAAATTATCTTGAAAATTGTAATTAAATGACAATTAGGTTTAAGGGGTTTATTTCATTACATACTTGTATGTTTCCAAAGCTCAAATACATGTTTTTGTTTTTTGTTATTGCTTTGTTTGTTTATTGTTTTCAAATTTGTTTTATTTATATTATATTTTTATTTTGGTCACTCTACCCCACAGGGTCTTATTCGTATTTTAAAGAAAAGAGAAACAGTAGATATGGTAAGGATTTTTCCCTTTAACTCCCAGAAGTGACTAACATGTAATTTCTCCCTATGAGATCCAAACATTCTCTAGCAAATGGTCAATGAGAATACTCAAACTTATCAGGAAGAAGTTTTAATCTTGATCTTACACCAAATTCTCATAACTAATTTACAAGGAAATGTATAGCAGCAAGAGGAGAGAATTAACAATCAGATCTTGGGAGTCCAAAGGTTAATAGTTCAGTTAAATTTATTGTAGGAGGGTGATGTTCTGTTAATCATTGGTCCTGCCAAAATAGGAAAATGGTTGAAGGAGTACGACAGCTTCTGTGAGGATATTGAGTACAGGTTTTTTAAAATTCTCCTCATTTTGTTGTTGTAATTAATACCTAATATGTAGTGCAATATACATATGGATATGATCTTTGTTTTATTATTATTAATAATTATGTAATAATCTTGTAGTTTTGATTATAATACTTTTCTGTCTTTGCCTGCTGTTTAATACCAAATGTCACTCTCCACCCAAGTCTTTAATTTAATTCTTGAAAAATATTACTTATCAGTTGCTCCTGTCAAGTCAATAACAAGGAAAGAATCATTGTTTAATATAATTGTGTTATTGACTGCTAAAAGTACATTGATCAACAAATTAAAAAAGAAAAAACTTCATAACTGATGTAAAGCTACTAAACATATGAGTAGACAATCACATAGCCAAAGGTGATCATGCTTTTCATGAAATTGTTTCATGCTAGGTTTGTGGACAGCAGGGACTTAACTGTAAAAGGCCTGTATGAAGATTACTGGTCTGTTACACATCACTTAGATGCAAAGGAGGTGAGTTTCTAAAGATTTATTAATAGAATAATGTGAAAGTAGTCTCCTGGTCTCTAGCTTGAAGGAATCAGAAAATGTGGGATGCAGAATTGCAGACAATATAATTTGTAATAGTAAAACATGCTGTGTACTTGTGTGCTTACAGAAAACGATAGTGGCCTAGAACTACTTATAATTTGTGAGTTAAGTGCTTAAAATTAATGTTGAGGGTTTTTTTTATTTTTCAGGTTTTAACAGTGCCTGTAGATCACTGCCCACAGGCCTATGGCTTGGTATTGACACACAAACGAGGCTGGAAGATTGTTTATTCTGGTGATACACGACCATGCCTAGCACTGATTAAGGCTGGTAAGTCAGTTGCAAGGGTGGGAGGAGGCACAAGGGATGAAGAGATGTATCCAAAAATAGATGGTTCCTTTCTTGTACACTCTAGCTAGGTGGCTTGCTCTCCTCCTAGGCAACCAGTTTTCTTGGTGTGGGGCAGTTTCCTATAGCTTTGGCAGCAAACCACCCTGAAATTTAATTCCAGTTGGTAAGGTTGATCTATCTTGCAGTACAGCCAGATGTGTGAACCTTCTAGGTAAAACATTCATGGTTTAAACTATACCAGTTTTGTATAAGCTGTCAGAAAAACAGGCTAGATCAATCCTAAATTTTCTTTGGTAGTCAGAATAATTCAACATTGTGGTGATGAATTCAGGTGTACAACAATAATTCAAAGTGTTAATATTTTGCAGGAACAGATGCTGATCTCCTCATTCATGAAGCCACTCTTGAAGATGAACTGATGATTGAAGCTCTAGAGAAAAAGCACAGGTTTGGTAATGATGATTGGTCAGGGAACAATGAAATAATTGAAGGATTGCTCAACTTCAAACTAATGAGAAAACTATAAATATTATCAGTCAGTCAGTAGTTTAAAAAGTGCAAATTTAAAGTCCACACAAAGATTTGGCCCAAGTTTGACATAAGGCAGAGTATGAGAGAGGGGAGGGTGGAGGGTTTGTTAAAGGTAAAGAACATGGGAAAGTAAATCAAACACTTTTTTTCTCAAGGGAGAGAACAATTGTGATTTTTAAGTGATATTTTTTGGAAATAAATTGTATATCAAGCTATCAACAATATATGACTAAGATTTTTTTGTGAATTAGGGAGTGGCATCTCCTTTGCTCTAAGATATAAAAATCAGTAATTGTTAAGTGAACTTTCTTTTTTTCATCCTGAGTTGCTTGTTGTTGTCATTGTTTTTTGTTATTTTTCTTTCTTTTTGGTTGATTGTTTGTTAAATTTTTACTTGTTTTCTTTTCTGACTAGTACAACTACTGAGGCAATCGAAAGTGGAATGAAGATGGGTGCAAAGTTTATCATATTGAATCACTTTAGTCAACGTTATCCTAAAATCCCAGTGTTCAGTGAACAATTTACAAGGTGTACAGGCATTGCATTTGATCACATGAAGGTACAGTAAAAACTATGGATTAATCAAGCAAGGGTTTTATTCAAAGCTGGTTAATGGCAGTCTACCACAGCCTGTGAGACCTCGTACTGTCATCTTTTTAGCCTCCAAGCAGCCTTCATGATTGGGTTTTCCCTTCCAGCCCTTTTACTGGCACAGCCAATGGCCACATTTGGATAAAGTGTTTGAAATTCCTGATCAAAGATATTTTTTACATGGTCTTGTATGGATAATAATTTATTACAAGAAGAAAAATTAAATTTTCATCCAATCCTTACAGCCTCATTTTGATCTCATGCCTTCCTGAGAGGAAGACATGTTTAGTTTAATGTATCCAAGGAAGGAAATTTCACACATTTAGGTCACAAGAATAAAGGAAATGATCACCAACTAAAGATGCTTTTAAATGAAGATGCTGATGAATTTGTATACTGATGTTGGGGTGTAAAGGGTTGATTGAAATCTTCCTCTTTTATGTGACCCTAGAGATAAAATGATATCTTGCTAGCTTCTTTTGTTGGTCTGTACTGTAAGTTACAGAACCTTTTTTTTTTTGCTCAGATTTATGGCTTATGTATTATGTGCTTTGGCCATAAATCCAAATGGAAAAATGTGTTCTGAAACTTGCATTATGGACCTCAAACTCAGTTAGGAAGAGGTATTATTGATCAGAGTTCTGCATTCCCCATGTTTACAGTGATTGTCCATTCTGCTTAATTTCCCAGCCAGGCAGATATTAATAGAAACATATTACTTCTTTCTCAATTGACTTTTTTGACAGGTTCACTCAAGCAATTTTTCAAAACTGCCACAACTACTGGACCCACTCAAAACTGTGTTTGCAGAAGAAATTGATGGAAGGACAAAAAACAAACAAACAGAAGACCTTGAATAATGAAAGAAACAATTTTTTTCTGCTTTATTTCTTTGTTCACATTAACTTTAATGTATTACTCTACGCATTTTCTTCTATTAGCTAAGTTCACAATGGTTCCAAAGCTTCTTACTGATAAAAATATTACATTTGTATTTTTAACCCTTTTCTATAGAAATTTTTCCATATTAAACTAACTTCCTTCCTTCTTTTTTGTATTACAAACAAGTGTACTAATTACAAATTACAAACTTAGAAAACATGGTACAAAAACCTTCATGCTTTACATGAGTTAGTGGATTTGTCTTTGAAAACAGTTAAAAATGATGGAAAATAAACAAACTATCTAATAAATACTACTTAACAATACATATCTAATATCTGTCTGTGTAAAAGCATCCTGATGTAAATCTACTCTGACTTGCAGAGTATTTCAGCTGAGACCAGCTCTCAGGATGGTTACAAACTAAAATTTAATAGTAAAAAAATAGGTACCAATAGCTTTACTACACTTTTCATTTGCATGCATTGAAAAAGCAAGCCTAAATTTTTCAAATATAACAAAAAAAAGAAAAACTAAAACTACAGCAATTGAAAGAAAGGTGAAGTCTTCTTAGCCAAGTCTTAACAACAGCTCAAAATGTTTGAGGGTTGATTACTGTCACACATGTACAAATACTGGATCAGATGTTAATGATATCTTAGGTTAACTGTATGGTGTATGTCTGGAAGAAGTTGTTTGATATGAAGCAATGTATGACACATCTGATGTACAGAAAATATTTGTTGGCTTTCCCACAATCAATACATAAAACATTATTTCACGGAAATAAGTATTTACAGCTTAATGTACATACTAAGCATGCTAATCTTGTGTAATTAGATATCTCCTTCATTATTAGAGGTGTGTTCTACTCATGGAGAAGTATGAGACCAAAGAAAAGTGCATCTAAAGCTAATTAATGTAAATTTACATCTCATTAATAGGTCATAGAATACAACATCTGTTCTTTTAAGAGAACAAAATGAATTTTTCTTCAGTTCCCTACCTCACTCCACTTATGATACAATATTTTTCTATCACCAGGACAAAAATAAACTGTTGAAAAGACATGACCTCTAGAGTCATTGTTTGACTACTTCCTCTCAATCAGTAATTACTACATGATTTCAAATAACAATGGGTGATATCAACCCATCTCTAAAGCAAGACAGTATTGTCTTGCAACATACCCGAGCCCCACTTTGCATAATGCCCTAGAAAGGGTAGTCAGATTGCAACGATCTGGGTAGCGATCTCGCCATGCTAAAAGCACTTGATATGGCTTTTCATACAAGCTATCTTTATTGATGCTGCAGTCATGTTCGATCTCTTTTATTTTGCTATCACTAACCCCCAACACTCGGCCAAGCTGTTTCCACTCTCCATTTCCAATTTTTTGGGAAAGGTCGTGGAATTTCTCTTCCCAATTTATAGCCTCTGGAAGTCGTCGTTTGCGAGCATTCTTTTTTACACAAGGGCACATTTTGGGTTCCATTTCTGTCAGAATCAAAATATTGGGCAATCAGTCAAGAATGAGAAAAGTATGGATATGTCTGTGCATCTAAAAGAACAAGGACTTTGTTTAAAGTATATATTTGTCTTTTTTCAGATGTGATGGAGGTCAATTCTCAGGGATACTCCTCAGATGAAGACAAGTGAATTTTCTCTTTGATGACACATTAATACCTAACATTTTACATCTTGCAACCTAGAAACACTCTTCCCACACTTTAACCCTTTAGCTCCCAGAAGTGATTAACATGTAACTTCTCCCTATAATATCCATACATTATCCAGCAAAAAGGTAAAGAGAATACTCAAACTTATTAGGTAAAAGTTGTTATCTTGATCTAACACCAAATTCTCCCAGCTACTTTACAAGGAAATTTTGTAGCAGTTAGAGGGGAGAGTTAACAATCAGATCATGGGAGTTAAAGGGTTAAGTGGTCAGAAATTCTTGGAGAGAGGAATAAAAACTTTCTACTATGATAAGGGGGGGGAGAGGATTAAATCTTGTTTACATAGATGTTTAATTTATTTAGCCTTGAGATTTCATGGCCCTCTGGATCACACAAAAACAAACTTTCACCTGGTGTGTCTTCTTCCACCATTCTTGTGGATCCAGTCCTGTTGTTCATTTTCTGTTTCACTACATTCCCTGGGGAACCTGTTTTGTAAAGAGCAGTAATGAACTGATGAGGTATTCCACCGCGTCTTTTATAGTCTGCGATAACTGCTGCCATTGGGTTGTCATTTGTGCTGAAATTGCTTATCTCTCGTGGGGTATAACCCAGTTGTTTAGCAACTTCATGCCACACCTCATCACCCATGTCTGTTTCAGCGTTGATGCTCAGCACATTTGTCAGTTCCTTGGTTAATTGAACTTCCCAATCAAGACAGCTATCAGCATCATCAGCATCACGAGGCTGCAAGAAAGAGTTTAAATTCAAGATAGTTATTGTGAGGCAAAGTAATTGAATACATAATTTATGCAGTAAGTGTAGTCACTAGCAGAAATGTCACTCTTGTTGGTTTATTGTGTAAGAAAGATGTAAATTATAAGTTAAGTAGTCAATTAGAGGAAGTTATTATTGATTTCTTCTTGTGAGTGTAGGACAAAGGAGAAAAACCTATAGTACCTTAAGAAATTCAACCCAAAACCTTTAAATTTTGCAGTCTGATGCTCTCTTGCTGTTAACCCTAAGAATGACCAGCTTCTAATTTCTCTTTACATTAATATTGCTGAATCATTCATTAAGATCATGAGAATAAGGGAAATGATCATCAACCTAAGCACTTGTGTGATTACACAAATTCTCCTTGTCAGTACCAAAGGAACTGATAAGAAAAGTATGGAGAATCTGGATACTGATGTTAGGGTTTCACAGGTTAAGCTACAGAAAATTTCATGGGAGGTTTTCTCTAAGTCATAGTTGTTCAGTGAAGTTAAGCATTACATAAGAGCTTACCCTATTTAAGAGGAAAGAGAAAACTGGCTTGTTTTCACCACTCTTTGATAGTTCTTCCACAAAAACATTACCAAAGTTTCCATATGGTGGCTCTCCCTTAAATCGACATCCAAACTGAATCACAAATGGACGGCCAGTGAAGTTCTCCACAGCTACAAGATCTTTAACACCAATTGAGGTGTCTGTGTCAAAATGATCTGATTCCAACCTTGTAACAGATATGGTTTGAAGAAAGTGTTTAGTATGAACAATGTGAATTGTCATATCAAGTCAATTAAGGTTTAAGCTGGGGAGAGAGTGAAATTTTGCATTGTTTAAAGTTATGAAATGGTTCAGAGGCACTGAGAAAAAATAATTGAAAAGGTAAAGGAGGAAAAACACATTACTCCTCTTCAACTAATTTTAGAGCTGATTACTTTTAATATGTACAAAATAAAAAAAAAAGGCTTGAGAAAGGTGTCTGCTCTCATCAGATGGTTTTTCCTTAATCTATACACTGTTTTCTGCACAGATTGTACAGATAAAGGGGGGGGGGGGAGGGTGGAGGAGAGGGTTCTAATAGGCCCATGCCACACTTCCTTGATAAAGAGTAAAAACATACCTTCAGTTGATAATAAAAATACCTGCCAATTTGGGTTTTTAACATTCTATGTTTATGTTAATTTACAATAATGTATCTTTCCCATTTATTCAAATACTCCTAAATATATGAGCTACTAAAATAGCTACTCTAAATTTGGGGTAAAATGAAGTCACATTTGTTTTGTTGTAAGTCACTGATGTTTCAAAAGTTGGACCCCAGTATTGGAAAATCCTACATGTGCTGGTGCACATTTATAAGGCATACATTTTAATACATACAATCTAGTTAAGCTTACCTGATTTGCAGCCTTCCTGTGTGTAGCAGTCTTGGTGCAATACATTTACCAACAACAGTAGGAAAATTGCCAATGTCCTCCAAAGGTTTACCAAATCTGTAGCACGCTATACAAAGGCCAAACCTCAGCCCATTCTCACTCACTTCTGACATCAAAGCTTGAAAGGAAACACTGAATTGGAACAGAGGAATGATACTAGAAGCACCCAGCTTAGCTTCCCACAAGATGGTATCAATAATGTTCCAGAGAACTCTAACGAAAGAGAAATGCTCCACGGAGAAGTACACAGAGCATAGAGCATTGTCATCGTTATCAATGTGGAAAAACCTAGGATAGAACTGCTGCCACTGGAGATCTTCTCCATCTGTTGTAGAACTACACCAAAATGTGAGCTGCCTGTCTCCATACCTCTCTAAAATCTCTTTGCCATCTGGAAGTGGAAGGCGCACAGTTACAGAGTCAGCAGAATGTAGATTAAACACACAGCCATGAGGACCAAGTTGGACAACTGGTGTAGCAAGTGCTAATGCCTCTGGGTCAGAATGATCAACATCATAAGGGTGATCTGCATAAAGAACCTTCACAGATGCTTCAATATCATGAAGTAATGATGTGTCTGGGAAGAGAATTTCTATTCCAGGGACTTCGGGGATGTGGAGATAACCACCTATACCAGCTTTTATGGTCTTGTGAGCTTCAGGGTAGCCTTTTGTTACCACAATCGCAAAAAGACTGAAATGGTAGGCTCTGATTTCTACATGAGAAGTGAAGACCTTGTAGTCACTTGGATTCATTTTTTCCCACCTTGTTCTCTGCCCAAAACCAGTGTTGCTGCAAAGACAAGTGACAACATCGTACCTTCCAATTTTAACATCGAAAGGAAAACTGATGATGGCTGGATCATCTTTGAAAAACTCGGCTCCATGTGGTGTCATCTCAATAACTTCACTAGCAAGCACCTCCCGACTCTTGAGTGTAGGAGCAAATGACATATCTTCTAACACCTCCAGATGAAATTCTGACTGCAGATGGCCAGTGATATTTTCCTCTGGGATAATAACACAGATGTCTCCCAGACTTATGTGTCTACATCGGTCAATAACTGACTCTAAGTCAGAGTCATTGATGTAACAGTCATTTTCAGAAACTTCACTCAAACATGAGCTGCCACTGTCGCTTGAGAGCTTTCTCTGCCTCAGATTTGCTGGTAAATTGTTGTTGAAAGCATCATCTAGTGAAGTAGATGATTGAAAACTCAAAAGAGAATCTTTTCTGTTTAGGAACGAATGCTCCCTTACTCCAATGCTCTCTGTAATGGAGGAACAAGTTCCATATTCACTTGTAGTCAAGCATCTTGGTCTTCTTCTGTTCAGACTCTCAAGATCCAGGCTAAAATCTAACCTCCTTCTTGTATAAGGAAATGGTGCCGGTTTACACTGTTCTTTCATCTTACGCAAGGAGTCAATGTTTTTTTTTCTAAGCTCCTGCTTGTGAAGAAGCTTGCTTTTCTGTTGTTTAACCAGGCAAAGTTCATTCTGATGAGCCTTTTCCAAATTGGATACAATGTTCTGATGTTGCTCGACGTATTTACCTGGTAAAGTTTCCACAGGCAAGGATGCGGAAATCATGGAATCATCTTCAATTGGTGAACATCTTGAACTAGGGGAGGTCTGCTCACAGACTAACTTTTTAAATCCTACATCTGGTTCACTTTCAGACAACAACAGGGGTCTGTCCAAAGTATTTGAGCGCAGCTTTGGTCTTGTAAAGCATTTTCTTTGAGGAGACAATAGCCTCAAATTTGTGTGGCAGTTTCTGTCACTAGCATCTCTAGTGCAAGGCAATCTAAAGTACCTGCGTATGCAATCTATTCCTTGAAGATAACAATCCCTGGGGATGTTTTCAATGAGGTTACGTACAAGGTACAAATGTTGAAGGTTTGGTAGAAGAAGCAACCAAGGTGGTAAAACTTCCACCAGGTTCCCAGCCAGATTAACCCACTCTAGAGTTCTCAATCTTGAAATGCAAAATGGGACTTCTTGAAGACCATTATGTACCAGATCAAGTCTTGTCAAGGCTGGAAGATCTCCAATTTCTTTGGGCAAAATTTTTAAGTTATTATGTCCAAGGTAAAGTTCCTCCAAACTAACCAGTTGGCAAATACAACTGGGAAGTGACTGGAGGCCATTAAAACTTAGTTCTAAAACTATCAAGTTTTCCACCAAAGGCTTTGCAAAGATTTCATTAGGTATGCTGGCAATGTGCAGACCACGCAGATCCAAGAGGCTCTGACATGATTTAGTAGCTCTTTGTAAAATTTTCCCTTTCTCTTTGAGCCCAAAAGGACTCCTCATTTTCACTCCATGGCGCGGAAAAATCCAACTGGAAAAGAGAAAAGAGCAGAAAGCCTCTCTTAAAATCCTTATCAAAACTTACAATTTTAAGGACTTTGAAGATATCTAAATATCCTTGAAGATTCTAGGAGCATCCTATTGCAAGATCTTTGCTGAATCTTATCGAAAATCTTTCAAGAAATCTTAATTTCGAAGTTTGTTTTGCTAAGTCTCTTTCGATCCTGAGGCTCTCTGAGAGGATTGCGAGATCAACTTATAGATATACTATTAGCTAATAGATTAACATAAATAAACGCAAAAATCCCGATTAACATCCTCAAAGATTTTTCATTATTTCGTCTGATTTCAGTGGAAGTGACAGAAACATCGTTATTGAAGAATTATTGTTGCTGAGCGAAAGTTTCATCCAGTAATTAAATTTTGACACATTTGAAAACAGCTGAAAAGGGTTTAAAGGGCAAAATGATTACAAAAAAGGTCTCTAACCATATTATTGGAAGACTATCGACAAGAACGCTCGCTTGATCGCTATCATAGAGTTGAGATATTAAAAGAGCTCGGCAAAACAGTCGAAAAAAGTTTGCACGCGAAGGGGATAACTTGGAAAAAATCACAAACTGCTAGTGACTTGTTTGTTTGTTTACAAATTCCAGATGGCAATTAAAAACCCCTTTTTCTTCTCCACAAGGGTTTCCTGTTTGAAACAAATTAAATGTGTGTAAAGGTACCGATAAATAACCATAAACGTTTCACAAGAGTGGGCTTCAAGTTTTCAAAGAATTGTGCGCGTGGGTCGAGTGTCAAAATTTTAAACTCTTGAAATCCAGCGGTAGCATGGATATGACCTATGATCATTGCTTCTCCCTTCTTTGCAAATGTTGCGCCAATAGGAGGAAATCGATACACACCTGTACCTTTCATATTCAGCAACAAAAACACCGATATTCCATTACCTCGACACTTCACCTCCTTCAAGCTTTTGACTCTTTGTACAAGTTTGAGGCTGGGGCACGCGCAAAAACGAACAATGGACCTGACGTTTCTATGGAAATAAGCGCGTGTTTTTGCTGGTACCACGTGTCCTAATCCCTGCGTGGGAAGTAAGTAAAAGGATCTGTCTTCTGCAAAATTTTTCACGCTAGCGAAAAAGTAATTTAACAGTAGGTCCTTTCAGGAATTCAACGTTGTTTAAGGAACCCAATACCAGTCGACAGAAGTATCAGATATCACATATGATATCAAGAACTAACATCAATTAAAGGTATGCTGCACGAAAACGATCAGTTTGCACCCACAAGTTGGGGTAAGGGGTGGGGGTGGGGGTGGTTGGACCATACTTCGCGGTTTGTTGATAACATATGACTGTTGGTAAATCACACTGTACTTGATTCTAACAAGAATGAATCGTTACTCCTCATTCCTTTACTAAGATAATCTGCATTGATTTTAAGCATTTTTCGGCTAACAAATTTCCAAGAATATGCAAAGAATTGTCAAATGATGAGTGCAAATCTCTTGTCCAGTCCCCCCACGACCAAGTGGTCACAAGGGATTCGAGCATGGTTCATCAAACGTTTTTTTTTAAGATTTCATCTTTCCCAGCCCTTGTTATTCTGCAACACCCATTCCCTATTTTGGTTCATTATTTGCTTGCACGGTGTTTTTTCTGTTACTTTCCTTCCAATTAGCGACAATTTTCAAAAACTTCGCGAAAATTCCTGGCCAAATATCTCCAAGGGATAATTGAAAATTCATTTTCTTGCGATTTCATTCTCGGATTGATGTATCATCTGGCCTTCAGGCAATGAGAATATGCAGGCTGACGAGCTGATTGGTGTTATCTTAATGAAATACCCAAATTTCCCAACGCCCTAGTTTGTAGGAAAAAGTTTCCCAATGGGAAGGGAGAATTAATAATCTGATCTAAGAGTTAATGTGATAAGTAAACGCCAGTAGAAGGAAACAGCCGCACTAAAATCCATATTTAGCCATACCTTTACTGTCATAAACACAAGAAATAGTTTCTCTGTTGTCATAATAAAACGTTCTCTGAACTGTAAATAACACTAGTAATTTTAAAATTCTGCTGCTAAGCCATCTCTAAATATCATGGGGCTTGACTTTATTATCACACCTGGATTAAGTCCGTTTTCTTCTACAAAATCGATCAGGGAGTATGTCGGCAATAATGCATTACTAAACGCGTTAAGTTACTCTATCTTCGCTAGTTTCGCCTAAAACGAATGACACATCGTCCGAAAGAATTATTTATAGCTATAATCTTATTTGCCAGCTTCTTCAATTATTAGGTTTTCAAGCCAGGTTGTCATACTTTGATAGACTCGCACCCAGTCGTTAGTGGTGCCTTCGAAGTGAGAGAAGACTTGAATCTAGATTATTAAGAAAAAGGTGTCATAACGCCCAATATTCTCTCGTCCGAAAAATGCAAATAATAATTGGGTGCGAGTCTAATTTCTGGAAGCTAGTAATATCTCATCATTCAGTTCTGTACATATAATACAAGATTGTATTGCTATATAGTGGATATATTATTAGACATAAGAAATAATAAGCTCTTTATATATTCCAGATTACATCGTATTACAGTTACAATGATTAACTTACAAGACTGAGTATTCTGAGAAAAACCCAAAGTAATGAAATGAAACACTTTCCAGGCAAGAAACACCATCACATAGAATGAGTATAAAAATACTTGGGCAGATAAGGACACAGCTGTAAAACGTTGTACAGAGATGCCAAGATTGAAGAGTCTTTTCTCAATGAATTTATTTTGAAAACGTCAGAAACACATAAAGGGTGAAAAGAAAAGGGACCAATTCCAGAGATGTCCGTTTACGTCCTAAAAAAATTGGCATGAGCAAATTGAAGCCTCCTTTCTGTTCAGGGGACACTTGTTCAAGTCCCGACTATGTCCCATGAATAAAATTCCAATATAAATCTAATGAGTAAAACACACACGAAACAGGCCGCCGTTTACGTTCATCTAACAACGACCCGAGTAGTAGGTACGCGACTCTTCTTGGGGAAGACGCTCTTTCCACGGCATTTCATTACAACAACGTAACACCTCACTGTTGCCTAGTAATACAATATAGACCGACCCATACTCTGATGAGTCACACAACACAACAGGTAATGGAATACTGTTTCTCAAAGCGTGGCTAATGTTCAACTTTTAACACAACACATCACACTACAATGTTACTAAGAGTGCGATTTAACCGCGCCCTGTTGTTCAGAGGACGGATAGCACTATCCGACGGACAAATCGCCATCCAGTGGTTAACTGTGAAGAAAGTTTACTACGCTATCACCGGAAAGATGTTTATCCAGTGGATAGCATTATCCACCCTGTGAACAACTAGGCCTTGGTGTATAATCTCATCCGCCCACCGAATTACTAGGCCCTCAAGTTAGAAGTAGCTACGTTACGATTTCAGAGGCTTACTAGTGTCTAGAACTCGTCATTTTCATTCCGATATATCATTTAAATCTTCATTTGTCCTAGTTGCTTTTCAATTTGCTTTTAGCTTTCTAATGTTATTTACCCGACCAAAATACTTTTACGCAGTCTTTTACTAAGAAATTTATTTTCTATAATCCAAATTGGCCTAAACTAATGTGAAATAATTTGTATGGTAGCACGACAATTTAGTTACGATTATATTACGACGTGTTTGTAAAACTAGTACAAGAAATAATTCAAGACACTATTCTCTACTTTAAGTAAGACTTTCTCTTAAGCGGGAAAACTATTCTTTTAAAAAATGTATTAATGTATTAAGCTATTTGTAATCTGCCTAGTAGCCGCTCAAAAGTTGCCGAAAATTTAAAGACGAACTATGGATACCTCGATGTTTGACCGATCGATGATCGCGGAAAAACCGCAACCAAACGAATGAAAACTTTGACGAACTATCGACTTCTTCACCAACATAGATTATTCAGGAAATATCTACCAACAAACCAAAGTCACCTCAAACAGATTTAACTGATAAATACAACGTTTGAGGTCACTTTATCGAGTCACTTCTTAACTTACTCCTTAAACTCTTAAGCTGACTAGTTACCGACAACACACCACGAACAAAAAGGCTACCGAATGCCGACCGAATTTCTCCCGAAATTTTTATCCGACAAGCAACGTACAGACCGATCGACTGAGTAGCGCGTAGTCGTTTAATCGACGTTCGTGCTGGGGTGAAAATTTACGACCGCTGACTTATTTGGTACCAAGTAAGCGTTTTCACATAATAAAGTATTTCTGTTGCTTTACACATAGAGCAATTTTCAATGGAATGTCGCAAGTAATCCGGAATTACTTAAGTTCTGCTTTACCTCGCTCTGTGGTTAGCCCAGAAAACTCGTGCCATCCTTTCAGACGCAACACCAACATCAGTCGTGGCTTGGTCACCCACATTTTCCCACGCTTTGGGTAGTTTGCCTGTATTAAATATGAGTTATCATCGGCTAACGATAATGCTTTTCTTTGTTATGATAACTTTGGTTTCCGTTCTTCGACAGTCAATTGAAAAATGCTCTTACTAGCTCCCGTTTGAATTGAAGCAACCGTTAATTAAAACGTATAAAAGGGTCGCGCGTCTCTCGGAAGCTAAGAAACAGAGCAAGACTTCCTTTCCCTGCCACACCATTTTCATGCAAACAACCAAGTTAGACTCTCTAGTTATAGGGTAAGCATCATTCTAAGTAAGCTATTTCCACCTTGATGTAAATTTGGATCCACATTCTTCGCACCTCCGGGCTCTTTCTGAGAAGTTTGTTTTTGAAAGCGTTGATTCACACCGGACTGGTTTAAGTGCATACCATTCGGAGGCTGAAATGCATCGGATAGCTGCACAGATTCTGAGAGATGTCCATTGTGAAACTGTTCAGGGTTAGTGTAAGGAGCCATGGTAGTGTTTGCATACAAGCTTGGCGTAATTTCATCCACGCTTGGCATATCTTCGATTTTTGGGGGCAAATTCTGAGCTAGGTTAGTGGCATTAGTTGATGAAAACCACAGGCTAGTGTCTTGACTTGGTACACTTGTGGTGTTGGAGTTTAACATAAAATCAAGAGGAAAATGGTTTGCAGAAGTAGCATCTACGACTGGGTTAAAACCAGCACCCCTTTGAGGGTGGGGTAGTCCATTATGGTTATGTTGGTAGCTCGGCGTAAATGACTGAGGGAGGGTTCCCTCTGGGGAACGGAATGCTGGATTAAACTCCTGCCCATTGTGCAACGATGATGGCAATCCATCTATGGTTGCTGACATCTGATGAATTTCCTGCTTAGATATGCCGTTAACAAAGGCGTTTGAAGAATTCACATGGCTGAGGCTACTCATGTCTGGTAAAAACGGATATACAAAGTTATCTGCGTCGGGTTGTTGAGTTCCAACGAACTGCGTGCTCGTAACATTGCCTTGAACCATCCCGGGTAAAGTGCACCCGTTTGGTTGATAAGGCGGACGCATTTCACTCTGCAAAGCCTGTGGATAGTTCATCGAACACTCATCGTCGTCATCCGGGAAACTTACCTCAGGTAGAACAGGCGATGAGTCAACTGGATAACCGGCCCAAGGATCAGCGACATTGTGAACACTTCCCCCATTGATAGCAAGTGTGTTATCAGCCCGAGGTAGATGGGTTAAGGAGTTTGCTTCATCACCCATAAGGAATTGTTTGATGCGATGAATCTCTTCGTGAGCCGACTTACTCCGTTTTGAGAACAAATGAGTTGAATCATTCCGGTTTTCCGTCTTGAAGTTGTGACCAGTTCCACTGTGCGCCAAAGTTGGCTTCATCTCTACAGGCTGCCTGTTCAGGTGTGCAGACCCAAACATACACGACTTTGATGAACCTGACGTCAAGTCAAACGTAGGCAATTTAGGACCGCTAGGTTCTGCCACATTGGTTGCACTGCTAAAGTCAGTAATCTCAATATCTTTGGAGTCGTCCAGTAACACTTCATCAGGTACGACAGTCATTCCTACGATGTAAAGAAAAGAACAACTTTTATTGTTACCTTAACTACGTCATTTTCTTTGTTAAGGATTTCATCAGCCTTAGCAACTACTGGCATAAAGACGATTGTTTGGCAGCTAAAAAGAAGCAATGTCAAATTCGTATAAATCTACCAATGTTCTATCACCCATACTGCAATCTGATCGGTTACGCCGTTCGCTATCTATTCGGTGATGGATAGTAAGCGGTCTTGCAGTGTGTGATTGTAAACAAAATAATAAAAATTAAAAAATAAAAAAACTAGAGCCTCTTTTGTTGTGAGGTTTTGAACGACCAGTGGAAGTGTGCCAAAACAACTAAGATTATTCGCTCTCCATTTCAATGCCTGATAATTGACTCGAGCTTCTTAACTAGCACGCGACAGAAATCTCCCTTTTTGCGAAGTGTAAAGCTACCTTCAGCTTTAAAGTGAAAAAAAATTGGTTCAGTCGGATAGGAAACAAACAAAAAAAATAAAAAAGAATTGGTTCAGTCGTATAGGAAACAACGAAAGAGGCAAGAATAAACCAAGGATGGCTAATTAAAGAGATTAAAACAGATTTTATTTGACACACTTGAAAAAACTGAAACTACGCTTAACACAAACCTTGCCCACTGATGTTACCAGTTTCCCTGGAAGTGGCCAGAGGTGGCACGGCAGCTGAAACAGGTCTGTTGGACGAGAATGATCTACCCAATGGGGTTGGTATCCCTGTGTGTGCCCCACTTGATGCACCTGTTATGCCTTGTGGAAGTAGTCCGTTTGGTGGGGGTGGGGGATATGATCTGTCTACTGCACACGGCAAATCCACTGGGCGTGGTTCATCTGGTACATTTTGTGACCGGGAAGGAACAGATGAAGGAACAGATGAAGGAACAGCGCCCGTTTGAAGTCCATTCGCTTGTGGTGGTGGTGGTGGTGGTGGTGGTGTTTTAAGCCCTTTTTCTTGACTAATTACCATCAGACGTGCATTGTGGTCATCCTCACCGGGAACCGAAGGAAGAGACTTCTGACGAGACTTCCATTCAAGGAGCGCTTCATAACAAACCTTTCTGAAGTATGGTCCTTGTTCATCGCTGAAAGAAGTAAAAAAATTTAACGAGAAACTCAATGAGAAATTTAAAGTAGACGCAAGGTAAATGCATGTCGAATCCCTTGCACTGTGGACAATATAGTTAGAAGATCTTCCTATAAAACAACCCTATAAGGGAGTAGTTATGATTTATAATTAGCACAAGGAGAAGGTCTGTTTTCCATTTTTCAACCGTCCACCATCTTGGAAAAGCCCTCTCTTCCCCTCCTCACACACAGGCGCATCATATTCCCACGAGAATCACACTCCCACGCAAGTCCCATTCCCACACGAGTCACACTCCCACGCTGCGCAAATAAAGAAGAGGACTGGTGACGAGTCAGTGCCCTGTACATCACTTTAAACCAAAACTAAAAGAGGAAAGAAAATTGTTCGACTCACTTCAAAAGAACATTGTCAGCAGTAATAGCCTCTGGCTTGTTATTCTTATCATACAGAGTCCTTGCCTTCCCTCTGATCCACTGGAATACTCCTTGACCATTTGTAAGCCTGAACACTATTTCACATACTCCTGTAGCTGTGACTACAATGACAAAAAAAATGTGTATGTTAAATACCTCTCTGCGATTTAAGTCAGTATATCGAAGCGCCTCTCGAGTTCTCAAAACTCACCCCAGTTTGAGTAGCAAGAAGTGCCTAGGGGTGCTACTCCTTTGGAAATGTATTCTCGGCCATCACAGAGTGCTTGTGATTGCTCGCGAGGGTAGCGCGTACACTCCCATTCACAAGAACCAGAGACTTAAATGGTCACCTTAGTAAACATTAGTTGGTCGCATCAAGCAACGCTTTCTCTCTCGAACACCTTGATTGACGCAACCAAACGACAGCTGTCACGAAGTCTAAGAAACAAACGCATATAACTGCGGACAACTATCGATGATAAATTAAAATCCCCTCTACGGTAACAGAAGAGTGCTTACTTTGTTGGTGGGCCAACATCAGACTTGGGATATCGTCAGGATGAGCAATCATATAACCGGTCATATTTACAGCCTCCTTATCAGGATAAAACAAAGATTTCTGTCCTCTGTCGACACAAACAGAAATAAAACACTAATTGTCAACATTGCGTTGAATAAGCAATAGAATACAAGTTGCAAAGCCAAGTTAAAACACTTTAAAGAAGCCCCCAAAGTGCAACGCTGCAAGGGGTTCCTAAAGGAACTTCATTACTGTCAAGTTGTTAGTTTCCTGTATTGGGAAAAGATTTCCGCTTGTCTATATGACCTTCAGCTTGAAACTCATTTACAACCTAAATGTTAGGTCACGCAATTTTAAGACCTTATCAGGCGGCTACGATTTTCATGGCTGCCTACAGGAAAGTGCAAATGCAGAGTGTGCTACCAAAGTTTCGGCAAGCGAAAAGATAGGCAGGTGAAAAAAGGAAAGAGCGTCAGAGTAAACAAAAATTGGGGGGGGGGGGGGGGGAGGGAGAGAGAAGGAGAGCTTCTCATCCCACTGCTGATTCCTCCTAAAACCGTCCAGCATTGTTTTTCGCCAGGCATTTTTCCAGCTATTTCGCTCGTCCTTTCTTCCTTGGAATTTCAGTGGTACAGGCTAGTTTGTAAGGGACTTTGGAACAATTTCTGCCAGATGGATTTAAATATGAAACACACCTTGTGTCAAGCTTGCGTACCCTCAGATCTAGTCCCATCTTACAACTGTACAACTGAAGCAACTCTTTAGGAGTACTGGTAAATGGATTGGCGGGGTTGACTGGAGTAACAAGAGCAAATAATCCAAACTGCTTCTTCTTGCCATTCAGTAGAGGCTTGATTTTTCCGTCAAATTTAAATGACTGTGTGATGATCGAAAAATAAGAACCACATTCACCCTTTCGCTCCTAAAATCTGATTCTTAATTCTACCCTATAACTGTTACACATTTCCTTGTCACTTAGTTATGAGAATTTGATGTTAAATCAAGGCAACAACCTCTACCCAATAAGTTTGGGTATTCTCATTATCTGTTTTCTGGATTAAGTATGGATATTATAGGGAGAAGTTTCATGTAAATCCCTTTTGAAGTTTGAGGGTTAACACAAAACAGGGTCTGGAACCAAGTTTAAGATTTGGCAATAACACCAACAATAAGAATTAATATTAAAAATACCTTTAACAACACTGAACCAATCAGAGCAAGCACATTTCTATCATCACTTCCCCCCGGTTATGCAAAGGATGGATAACACTAACCACTGAATAAATCTCCATCCAGTGGACAGCACAGTTGGCTTTGTTAACGCTTATCCGCTGTATAGCGATTCATCCATCCAATACCATAATTTACCCCTCAAACAACCAAAGCCTGAGCTACTACTATTGAAGACTGAGCCTGAACGTAGTTGAGTTTGATTGACACTGTAAATGATTGCAGTCGTGCATGTCGCTTTTAAGGAGTGTTTTTTCTTAGAAAAGGTGTGAGAGGATAAAAAAAATAAAAAACGGTGGTGTTTAAAGAAAGAAAACCTGTGATTGTGACTTTGGGATACTAAACTTCTAATGCCACGGAGGCATTACCGAAACTACAACTCGTGTAACAAGTTTTACCACAGCTTCGTGTTTTACTACTGTAACTACCTACCCTATAGTAGAATGGACTAACGTGGCTTGACTGTCTTCCTGCATGGCACTTGATGCTGCAGAAGCACAATTGAGGAATTGGTTGTTCTGGAAACAAAGATTGTTAAAGTTATATTTAGGCTCTTGAACTTTTGATGATTTTTTCTACAATAGACTAGGTTTCAAGAGTAATTTTCACTTCGGTGTTGAAAGTAAATCTGGGATGTTATGGTCATTTTTCAAATTCATTAAAAAATAAATAAAATTTTAAAACTAGAAGTAATCACAGGTTACGGAGTGCGTTTGAGTTACCAGTTGACTTTAGAGTCTGGCGTGGTTGTTCGTGTCAGCTATTTTGTTAGGAAAGGCCTAAACTCCTTATACAGTCAGTTAGAGATTGGTTCCCAAAAATTACTTTAACCCATTCACACCTAAGCGTAACACGTGCCTACGCAAAAGTTAAAATTTGGAGAAACAAACAGGTACACGGATCGGATTTCAAAGTAAATAAGCAAATTTGTCTGTGTGTGAAGATAATTTATGTTACATGGAATTATCTTTAACTAAAAAGCAAGACGAAAGTGATCGAGAAATAATTCGGGACGAAAGCTTTATTCAAAACAGTTCTTGATTTGCTGTTAGAAGCTAAAAACGTCCACATTGGTTACGTGTAAAAATAAACTTCTGTAAAATTACTGGTAAATTGAATACTGATAAAGACTGGAGAATTTCACACAGAGTTCAATGTTGATACCTTCCAATTCTTGACAATCAAGTCCTATTCCGTTTTCCAACTCGACAATTCTCTTCAAAAATAAAAAAAAGTAGAGATAAATGGGTCAGTTAGTTAAGTACAAAAACTTAGCGAAATAAAGTATTTATCGCAGGACAAACTTGCCGTTTGATATTTCACTATTTCAGGCTCTGTATGATAGCTTCCTTAAGTAAGCATGGAAAGAATAATTGAGCCCCCAGCCATCCCTCCCTTGCGTCTCAATCACTGACATGATCAAACTCAAGAACAAATAAGAGTACAATTTTTTTTTAAAAAAAAGTCAAAATATTGTGCACAGTAGCTAAGTAATTACCGAGCAGGCAACCTAAAAGATGTGCACCAGTGAGGAGTAAGAAAGCTTCACATTAACCAAACCAACATTTAGTCTCCTAAGATGGTTGGGGGGTGAGGTATTTAGCCCTTTGACTCCACTGATCTTAAAAGAAAATTCTCCCTTCTGGATGCCACCATTTCCTTGTAAAGTATACAAAATAATTTGGCATTGGATCAAGATAACACCCTGCAGCTCATAAGCCTGCCTATTCTCATTACAAGCTCGCAGGATAGTGTGTTAAAATCACATTTGTTTGGGGGATTAATACATAAAATCTTTCAAACATTCAGCGTTACTACATTCTCCAAATTTAAATTTCATAGTATTGTCTGAAAAGAGAATCCTTTAAGATTGTTCAATGTAAATTGTTTGCTTTGTGAAAAGAAAACCTGGCCTGGTTGTTCAAAGGTTGGATAACGCTATCCACAGGATAAATCTCTATTCATTGAATAACACTATACATCTTGCCATCACTTATCCCCTGAATAGTGATTTGTCTGTTGGATAGCATTATCTGCCCTTTATACAACTGGGTCCTGATTAATAAGACAGATAACTCACAGCTCTTGCAGACCGTCGTAAGCATCTTTCAAATCCTACAACATCTTCCTGGTGTACAAAATTGAGGAAATTCTGGTGCATCAAAAATGTCTGTTGAAAGAGGAATCATTTCATTTAGTCTTCAACAAAATAACAGCCCAGGCATAACTGGTAAGTCTTCATGGCTCCAGTGAACATCCACTGGTAGAGTTAATCTGACTTTGTTAAGTTATTGCAACTTCCTAAAGAGTTGGGCTGGGTAGATTTCATGTTTGTAACCCTTGCATGGAGGCAAGATGTGGAGAGGGGGAGGAAACTCTCGCTACCTACTGGGGTGATGCTGATAAGAAATTCTAAAACAATAAACCTCACAAAATAGAGAGAAGTGTGTGTGACTCCTACTGAGCTAACCATCATCATCCTTCAAAGAGACTTCAACCATCCCATCTCTCCTGCATCAGGGTTTTTCTGCTTCCCCCTTCACCTGAGCTAATAGGACACCCAAAAATGACAAAAAATTGCATCCTAATTATCTTCATTCAGACTCTTTAATAATAGTATATGTATTTCTTCATTTCAAACCCCTTAAGCTGGAACTTAACTCATTCTTAAAGCCTGGCCCTAGTTGCTTGAAGGGTGGTGAATGCTAAGATTTATTCATGGATAGCACAGAGTATTTTGTTACCACTACCTTACCCACTGGATAGTGATTTATCGGTTAGATGGCATTATTGGTCCTACAAACAACTGGGCCCCTTTTTTTAAACTTTGCTTACTTATAAGGCCTGGTATCACAACCTTCCAAGGATAGTTTTGTTTTCTTGCACGAGTTTTTGTTTCATACTGTGTCTAATTTACCTTAACCCTTTAACTCCCATGAGTGACCATGACAGAATTTCTCCTTACAATATCAATACAACATCAACCAGATAAGTGATGAGAATAAAGAAAAATATCAAGTTTAGGATTAGTTGATCCAGTACTAAATTCTCTGAACTAACATTACAATAATTGTATGGTTGACAGTAAGGGGAATTACAAATTTGATCTGGGAGTTGGAGGGTTAAGTGATCTTTTTGGGTTTTTTTTTTTTTTAATCATATACATCTTCTTCATTAGTTACCTGAGTGTATCCAAGATATCTATAGACATTCTCTGACGCAAAGAAGACATCTCCTGAATCTGACAGAACCAGGAAAAAGGAATCCAAGGCCTGATGGTCATAGCAAGATTAAAAAGATATTTAGCATCCTGCCAGACATTAATAACTCCATGCACCTACTTTAGAATCCTTGCAATTGGCTCGCAGCATTGCAAATTAAGTTCCTTCTTTATTTCCTGTTCTATTTTTCCAAGAGATATGATGGATTTACAACCCCAAACTTCTCTAGACACATTTACCACCCATATAAACGATTTTAATTGTATTCATATAAAACAAGAGAATATTTACAAGCTAGGCAACACAGGTGCAAACAGCTTTCAGTCTTAAACATGATCAATTGCGTACTATTCAAAAAAAGCTTTCATCAGTCAATTAGTGAAGAGCAACCATTTTCTTTCCAGGTTCAGCTGCAAAGTTTTGGTCAATCATTTGCTTTGAACAAAAATTTGTTTGCAAAGGCGAGTAATGGTAAACCATGAAACCATGACAAAAGCAACCACCATCATGAAATGCAAAAATATGTAAATTAAGAACTTCATTTCAAACATGCATAGTCATGCTGCAAAACATGAGTTTAGGTGCCTATGCATGTGAGTTTATCTGTCATTTAAGGCCAGCAATCAGGAACAAGTGTCTGGAGGCATCATCATGCTGATCATCTCAAAGCATTTCCAGCTAATCGATAAGTAAAAAAAGACATCTTGTAAGATGTTTCTGGAAACAAATATCATCTGTGGTTATGTAAACTGCAACTGCAAAATGCCCTGCAGCAATTTGAAAATAAACTTGTTAAGAATACTTAAAACCTAAAAAAAGGCTCCAAATTTGTCCTATATTTATCACAAATTAGCAAATAACAAAAGACAAGTCACTCAAAAGTTTTCAGGGGCCTATTTTTAGAGTCTAGTTAAACAGTCGCACCTGGAAGCCATTTAGAGTGAAGTGAAATGTGCTAATGGTAAATTGTCCACATGAGCTACTTTAAGTAGATTTTAAAAAAAAGCGATCCTACTGTAACTGTCTATATGTCATAATCTTTAACACAGCTGACCAAAATTCACATGTCTATTAAAGGAAGTTGACAAAATGCATGAAAGGTCTCTTGCATGACGCAATTAACATAACAGACAATAAACTCTAGAAACTTCTTTAAATTTCAAATGTCAGACAGTGCATGATGTTTTCCTGTCTGAAACGCATCTTGATCTAATTATCCGTGAACTTGAACTTGAAAATCACTGTTGGAAAACCGCTTCTTTTAGATTATTCTTCAGTTTAAATTGAAATCTAGGTTAATCTCTTACGATTCCAATTTACGACGAGAAATTCTTATTTCCCTCAACAAATTTAGCATTATGTTTCACCCTCATCCTGTAATCAATACTAATTCTCTTAATCCCATTGCTTGTCTGTTTTTCATGGCAAATTATGATTTTCCAAAAATAACTGACAAATTGACCACTTCATGCACTCAGAGTATTTACAATGGGTAAAACGTTCACTTGAGTGACCGATTTGAATTTATCCTAATTTTGACTTCAATGAAGGTCAACTGGAATTTGCTTTTGATTCTTTAAATAGTAAAAATGCTTGATGATCATATATATACAAACCTAAACCAAACATTATTACAAAAATGTAATATGCTGGCTTGGCTCCTGGAGTAAGAACTGTCAAATTGGGGATCAGTTTCACTTTAAGAACAGAGATTCAGAGGAATTATAACAACACAAAAACATGTCATTATTTTCTCTCGCTTTCTGTAACCTTTTTATCTTAGCCTTACACTAACCAGCAAGCTCTATTAGCCTCTAACTACAATATTTCATAATTCTCTCCTCAAGCAGCAAACATTTCCCCCTAAATTTTCTTGCAAGAAATGTACTAATATTGCATGGAGAACTTAAACATTGATCACTTCTACAAGTTTGAGGGTTAAGAGCTTCTTGCCTTCACAATGGGTGTGGATAATCAGCAGCGTTTGTCATTGTTACACGATATGTCTCAGGATATACCACACCCTTATGTTAGTGCACAAGACTATACACCACAAGGTGTAAGCTTGAGCTCTGTCTGAGATGGTGATGTGCTCTTACAAGAACAAGACACATGACTCAAATAGTGTTAGTCTTTCCAAGAGCATACAAACATATCAATGCAGATGAAATGTCATGGAAACCCAGAAAAAATGCTGAGTGTGGATAACACGCGATGGGTAGCATCACAAACAGAGGGTGAGCCTTAGTGCAACTGAAATTGCAATCTACTCTTCCAACAGTGGGATAGCATTAAGGTGCACCTTAATGCAACTGAAATTACAATATGCTCCCCCAGCAATGGGAGTTGGTCTTGTTTGGATACTCTGCCTTGCACCTTTCCTTAACCATTTACACCCTTGGTGACCAGCACCTAATTTCTCTTGCAAATTATACTGCTGAATCAATCATTATGACCACAAGAATGAAGATAGTGATCACCAACCTACAAAGTTTTGATTGTTAAATGAATTTTCCATGTCAGTACCAAAGGAAATGTAAGGACAAGATTATGGATAATATAAACACTGATTTTAGGCATAAAGGGCTAAGTACTCTTGGTTGAGCTTGCTACGTTTCAAATTAGCAAAAAAGATTTTTTTGGGGGCATGCAAGCCATTCAGATCTGTTGTGACCTTTGTGAATAATTAATCATGCATTTCAAAGTTCAGTACATGACAGACAAAAAGAAGAGCAATTTGTGAAGCAGCTGAGTACATGATATTTTGTGGTTTTTTTCCTGTTTCGTGAAAACCTCAATTAAGTTTACTACATATAAAGAAGACTTTTAAATATTAGTCTGGTAGAGAGAAATGCAGAACAAGTAGGAAGACACCAAGAAGGAATTAAAATGCCTAAAGATGGAAAAATTAAAAAATGATGAACTTGAAAATTTTGAACTACATTTTTTAACATAAACAACTCATGACATGGTTTATTTCAGGAGTCTAATCAAAACCATTGCTAAAAATAAGGACTAATGTTTGCATGGTTTGTTGGGTTTGACCCTTGACTGCGGCAGCCTGACGGCTTGTTTTGAAGTCTTGCCAGGTTCAATTATTCACGGTGCATGTGGAGTTGAAAGTCTCCACATGCTCTTAAAAAAATGGAACTATTGACAAATACATTTGTTTCGCCAGATTTGTGTAGCATTTCAGTCACTTAATCTAACACCACAACAACAGTGCATACACAGCTCATGCTTGATTTGTTTTGATCGATTAGATCCACTTGTTTTGAATACAGAGTTGATTGGCAACCATGAATTTCAAATCAAGTCAACACCCTCCCATCAAAAAGGATCACAATGACTTTTGCTTCATGAGTTAAACTCAGTGTAAACATACTAGCTTGAAATCAAATCCTAAGCTTTTTACATTGTTACAGAGGGAAATAGTCATATAAATAAGGGCAAAAATACCTTTGTGGAAAAAAAAAAAAGAAATTAAGGGCAGAAATAATTTATGTAAAAATTAAAGAGTATCTCGCATCAGGAGGTTAGAAACATGAATTTCTCTCTTCATCTAAATTTAGGTCCAATCACCAGCAAAAATATACTCATTCACATGTAAATTATCAGAAACAATGAAATATCACTAAAAACAACTAAAGGTTATGGCCGAGTGCTTCATCATACAGTCTGTTATCGCGCCCTCTTAAACTTCTCTTTAAGCAATGAATATAAAACAATTGAACTTCATTAATTTTGGTACCAGCCGTTTTTCATTTTTCTTAATGTTAAAAACATGAGACAATATACAGCTTGATCATTCATCTTGGCAAATTTAATGGGAAGTACCTATCCATGTCAAGTGCCAATATATTTAATTCATGTTAATGGGCAAACGTGAGATGAATAATGATTTTTTGGCCATGTTGATAACAAATTTTAAATTTTGAATTTTATGTATTTGAAAAATAAATCATGCAAATAATTTTGACAAATAACTGAATTTTGAGGGTAGTTGATCTTTGTTATTTATCACATTCTTAATGTTTAAAAAGCTCTTCTCTAAACATACAAATGTGTCTAGTAATTAAACAAAGCTGTCACAATTTTATCTAAATGTTATCAAAAAAGGTAAAAGGAATTCAAAATATAATACAGGGCAGACAAAATATATATTATCCATCATCAAAAAATTCCATAGAGCCAATAGTGTTTCTGATGGTTACCCACTTAATGAATCCAAGCAAATGAAGGGAAAGACAGAGTTTAAGAGAAATACAGCGGTAGATCTTTGAATCACAATCAACCCGCCACTGCCCATCAGAAGAGAGAGATAAAAATTCAAGAGGGACTCCTGATCCCACATGAACTTCTTGTAAATTTTTTGAAGTGAAAAAAAAATTTATTGAATCTATTTGTTCAGCAGAGGCCACTTGGGGTTTAACTCCAGACACCCCATCCAATAATCATGATAGGGACAATTCTGACTCTTCTCTGCTTAAGGAGCAGTAATTGAGGATGTTACATCCTAAGAGGAAAATATTGTCAACAAAGATGTTCTCGGTAGTAAAATGTGATGGATACTGAAGCTCATGTTACATACAACAACTCATAAAACTGCCTATCTGCAAAAGAAAACTTCCATAGGTTTTCCTTGTTACCTCCACCATCAATTCATAGATTGATAATTAATTGCCTGAGTAAGAATAACCTGAGGAAGACCAAATTGTGTTCCAAAAGGTAGAATAATTTTTCCTCACAAGACAAGGACGTGATCAGCTAATGCCGACATAAATCATGCTATCTCAATCATGAAGCTTGTAAAATGTGAAGTTACACAAAGTAGATGGCTTGAAATGCATAAGGGGGGCTATTTAACTCCAACAGCCCCAATGCGATAACATTACCAACCCTGAATCATCTCTGGATATGCATAACACCACCTACTAGCATTGTCAATGGCTTGTTATTTTAACTCCATAACCACAGACAATAGGGACTTAAGAAAGTCCAAAGAGCAATGCTTAGGAAAACCTCGATAAAAAAAAACCCAAATGATTGCCATTCCTTTCTTTCTTTTTTATTCATTTTTTGAAGAATTTCATGAATGGTGCCCCATGAAATAACATTAAAACCTGCAACAAATCAAAAACACTTACCTCCAATGAAATATCACTGACATTTATGTTCATCTCATCAAGTTTCTTGGTTATGTCATTTACAGATGCATCATCCACACGTCTCTTTCTTTTCCCTGAGAAGGAAAATAAACTTGGTTTTACAAATAAGTTAAAGCTGCTTAAGGGAGTAGGTTCCTAAAGAAACTGGGGTGCTGCAATGGTAGGAGAGTATAACAGGGTAATTTAGTATTGTCAACGGAGTTGATATTATTAATTGGCCACAACAAAGAGTTTAAAAGCTGATGTTTCTAGCATAAGCCCTTCACCCTTTGCTCTGACAAAGGACTAAGCTTGAAATCTCAGCTTTTCAACTCTTTATGGTGGCCAATTTATGTTATCAACTCAGTTGATAATACTAAATTACCCAGTTAAGGATATGGTATACCACAGTTTTTTTTTGGCAATTTTTTTAAAATTTTTCAAGTCAAACTATTTTAAAAACAGATTCCAAGGACACAATTGGTAAAATATTGAAATGCACAGAAGTTTTTACCAAAAGATATTCATTCTTCAGTCTGCCAAAGTGTGAACAGCCAATTATGATATGACAGAAAATGCTTTCCATTGCATAAATCTCCTGATTTCAGTATCACATGTGAATTTGATCAGATCTGATACCTGATTGCCTCACTTGAGATAGTATTACCTACATCACACTAAAACAAAACAAAAAATTGGCCAGAGAGCACATCTCTTAATCTTTCCATTGGTATATAAATGTAACTCATGGCTGTTACACTCCAAATAGCACATTGGCAATTTTTTCATAAAGGACACCTGGCAAGGTCTACGATATCTATAAGAACCTGAAATAAGCCAATACGAAATAATGTCAAACTGTCAACAGTGAGGTGATGCTGAAGAAGACTGAAAGATCTCCAGAATTTTTTAAAAAACATACATTTTAACATTTGGCAAAGAGTTATAGAGTGGGGAAGGGGATATTTGAGCCTGCCTCACTCCCCCCCTCTCTGCCTCTTCCTGACTGGACACAACTCCATCTCAAAATGGTGACTATTATGTCAAGGTGCAGCTAATTATAGAAAAAATATTCATTACATCGTCATTGAGAGGTTGTGAATTTGCAACCATTATCACCAATACAGAGTGATAGCCATGTCATGTGGTTTTCATGAGAATGCATCCTATTCCATGCTGTGCTTGAATTTGACTGTCACTGTGTCTTTCTTGGTTTACAGTGAACATGTACCTCATGAGTTACTAGTCAGGGAATAGTTTAGGCATTATTGTATCATTATAATTCCTCCATTTTCAGACATTCCTTCTTGTTGCAAACAACTTCCTGGCCATCAAGAGCTGCTTAATATGGAACTAAGAGGATTTCCATAGCATTTAGTCATGCTATTTCCGAAAGTAATTGATTAATCTTCACCAGTAATAATCATAGGATGCAGCCAACAGCGATAAACAAGTACTTCAAGGATGCAGTTGAACTTACCAGACTGAAGATAATTTTGAGTTTGGAAATAGCTGACAGATAGTTTCAAAACTGTCAGTTTATCCAATTTTGATCTGGCATCTTCTGGCAGCGGGAGAAGACTGCCAAGCTCCTCCAAAGTTGCATTTATCTTTTCTCTGTGCCGCCTCGATGCACTCTGTGGAACTTTCATCCTGTGTTCACATACAATAATTTGAATTACACATAACATCCGATTAACCACAATTTAAAGAGTTTGCATCACGCAAAAATAAAATAATTTTACTATTAAATGTCTAACATGTTACAATAGTGACTTTAGGGCACAATTTAATTTTGTTGACTGAAATGTCAAAGATCGGAACTTGATGTATTATATAACATAACAAAAATAGAGTATATCATCGACTAATAATTATTGCACAGTTTGAGTTATTTTGAGTAGTTCTTGGCGGTACTATCCCATGGCTTGCAACACTAACTGCAATTACTACACACCCCTCACTGTCATTCTTTCAAATTTCTTAGCATGAAGCCATCTCAAAAACCATTTTTAATTTCATTTAACATGGAACTTTAATTAAGTTAAAGGACTTCTAAGCTTAATGTGAGTTACTCATGCACAAAATAAAAACAAAAGTTCCACAAATACGTCTTTAATGCAGACATCTGTTAAAACTCCCAAGAATCAAAGGGCACAGTCCAGTATGACATTTAAAAAGGACAGAGAAAGAAAAAAAATTGAGTGATTAATAGACTTCAAAGTTCATTGGGTTATACTGAATACTCTTCAAGCAGGCAAGTTCAACAAAGATCCTTTTACCTCTAAAGACACAAAACAAGGCAGTTTAACAATCCAAGGAATGAATAAAAACAATCAAAAGATGAGTAAGCATTTGAACTAGCTTAAAACTTTGACCAGAGCATCAATCTAAGCTGAAGTTATTCCAAGAATGTTTAATTCCCTAAACAAAGTATAGCTTTTCCATTCAGTTCTGACACTACACTACTGGCACCCCAAAATAATAGGTTAAACAAAATCTTGGTTTATATTTCTTTTGTGTGTATTTGTCTTTAATTTCAATTAGCAATGAGTTGCGTGACCATAACCACATTTATTAGAAATGTAAATTTAAAAAAATTAACACAATTGAGCAGTATGCTGCTATACAGAAATAACTTTGGTAAAAACAGAGCTAGGGAGAAACTTTCTTTGTGGAAATAATCACTTGAGACTGTGGTTGACTATAAATTTAAGTTTGTATGAAGAGAGACTGGCATGCACATGGCTCTTTTCTGAGTCAATAAAGTGCAACTTCAGAAGTATTGAAATTAATCCAGCTCCATTAGAACAGTTATCTTTCTTGGTATCTTTCCTCTAAAATTAACTGTCAGTTATATTCTTTTCCATGCGGCCACTTCTTAGTGATAATAACCACTATTGTTTAGTTGAGGCTCAAGGGATGGTCTATATAAGCCTCTATAACAAATTTCAATGTGGAAAGTGTGTTAATTGTCAGAAAGGCTTAAGGAAGAAATCTTAGATGGACAATTTGATAACACTACACACATGTCATATCAAAATTACTATTGGTATGCTTTTAGATAATCTCTATGCAAATCATTTGGGATGACTGTTAAAGATATGACTGTTAGCAGACCTAAAAAAACTGCTTGCAGACAAATCAATTCCTAACCTATGCTCAATTTGAGTCAAAAGAATTTTTCTTTTGATTTCTTAATCTAATAAGGAACTTAATATGTCTACATAGCTACAAAGATTATCAGTGAATTGTTTGGCAGATAATACGATGGGCTGGTCAACTTCTAAAATCTTGATCTAGTAAAAGAGAAATTAATAATTTCATATCTAAGAAAAATCAGATATTTTCACCCAATGCCACCTTAGAGAAGTTTCATCACTCATCATCAATTCATGTGTCATTGATCCATTTTATTTTTAACCGGACATGAGTGTAACCAGTCAGTAATTTCTGTGACCCATACCAACACCATATTGGAACAGATCACTGTTGGTACTAGAATTCATCTATTGCTTTACAAAATGCATCACTCTTTTACATTATCTTCCAGTTCAAAGCTTAGTCTAATTTGATATTTGAGAATGCACTGCAATGTTGTACTTTGCTCTCTAGACATTCATAAACATTGCCATGCCTTCCAATGCAGACAGATTTTGAGATAAAAAAAATTTTACCCCTCTAAATAAAATAAAATTGCAGGATGATAAATAGGAATAAAATAGCCCGTTTGGTTCCGTCTTACAGAATAAATACATAAATCATCCACATGGGGAGGGTTTAAAAACCTCATTATCATCGGTGTAACACATGGCAAAGGAAACTCTTTCAAAACATTTACATATTTAATCAGTTCACAAAAGGAACTAAACATTTGCATTGAAATTTCAAGGACATCGTACACAAGTTACAGAGGTCTGTGCAAATCCAATGAAGAGATTCCGAAGAAGATATTTTTTACTGCATCACGACGCTTTTAAATATCAATAAAATTATGGTATAGGAGACGGCGATCAATTAGGTAATACGCGATCGGGTGATGCTGTAAGGTAAGGTGGCCGTCAAACTGCCAGAGGGTGTATTACGTTTTGAGTTAGCGCATACTTCCTAACATGCAGTGAACACTTACTACAAAGAGTCTTTAATTACTGAAACCGTTAGCGCTGGTTGCCGTTTGGGCTTGGTCGCTTGGAGTATATATTGAAACTCGAATCTGAAGGAATATGAACGCATTGTAAACAGCAGAAGAACAAAGTGTTTTAAGTAGATGAAAAAATATTTTTCAATGAAAACTGATTGGTTCAGCTGCTCCCATTTGCCTTATTTCAATCGAACACCACCTGAAGGCAGACGATAATGTTCCAAACTTTTCCTTAAATACCATAAACTAGCATTTAACGCAATCAAATTGAGGCTAGTTCTTACGTCTCTCTTTCAATGTAATGTGTCGCATTTTCGCTGCATTGCTACTATACCTCACGCTATCTTAGAGCTAAATAATTTCAATCCAGGCTATAAATTATACATTACGAATTCTATCGACACGATAAACCATTTATTAAATGCCCCGGCAAAAAAATAAAAGATCGAACTCTTTGATAATCCTATGGACTACAAAACAAATCATCCGAGCGTGTAAATGTTTGACAGCGTAAAAAGACCCGAAAATTATTGACGTGAAGGTAACTAACAGAGAGATCTTTTCAATCTCCGTCTTGATTAATGACGGCTAGTTTCTGCAGCACAAAGCTTTGCAATGCTGGTGGAAATTAACATGGCGAAAACTGAACTCTAAGAAGATTATTATCAAATACAGGAATCTATCAGCAAAAGAACTAGGTTCGTTCACTTCTGATCCTTTCCTAGATCTCCCAGTAGTTTAAATGTCACTGCAGTCAAAGGAGCAAACAAGTTGCTAAAATAATGAATTCTTTAATTGCGTGCTTTAGTATGCAGTGTGAACTTGAATAACTGCACTGTCACCTACACGGTCGTTTATTTATAGTGCGAAGATTTAGTTTACCTCTCTTGTTCCGCCGCCTGGTCGCAAATCTTGCGCTTTCTGTCTTTACCACCTGGATTACAACCACCGTTAGCTTTCATTTTCCAGTTTTCCCGCTAAAACTGAAAGCATAAACGATTACATCCTCGTTAGATACTAACACCATTTGATAAGCCACACAGAAATTCTTCACGTCGCCATGTTTTTAAAAGCTGTGTCGATCTGTCAAAAATTACAATATAGGCGCAAATTGACGCCTCCATTTGACACTATCATGCAAAAAAACGAAGCTTTACGCTATGAGGCATCGAAAAACGTTTCAATTTACCTGAAAGAGTCGTGAATTGGCTCCTTACAACCTTTTGAAAGTAGCCACGATCTTTCTCAAACTAACCGGAACGCGGTAGGGATTCCAAAGGCCGAGTTTGTCCACAAGCCAAATGCGTGATACTGGAGTATTGATAAAGCGCGGTCAGACTGGGGCTGGTCACCAAAGACAATAGTCGTATTGTCTTTCAGTTTATTATTGGTGGATTTTACGGTCGCAAAATACATCTTGATCTTCTTCCTTTTCTGTCATTTTGATTCTCGTTCTTTTGTGTTTTACAATCTTGATTTTTTTTTAGTTTGCCATCACTTTTAAAGCGTTTCCGCGTGAAAATTTTTTGAAGGAAATATTTTCCCCTTACTCTCTGTTTGTTTAGGGTTTTTCCACCATTTGGTTAAATAATGAGTCCTTTTTTCATTTTGCAGCTGGGGATCACGTGAACGTTATCTGGAAATGTCTTCCACTGGACATAGGTGTCCTGGGTATGGGGTTCGTTTCTTAATTTCATGCTGTTTTATCAGATTGAACCCGGAGGCGAGCGACAATGCTGCAGCAGTCAAGCTTCTTCTTAAAGTGTTGAATTTCGGTAAATAGCCAAATGTCCTCTAAATCGTGATGCAAGCGGGAAAGGAGTTATGGGTAATAGTTAAAATGGCTGCCTCGCGAATGGTCTTAGTGTAGGATTAAAATTTTGTACTTTCGCTTCTATGGAAGAGGAATTTGTTGTCAAAGAAGGCTGGGTTGTTAAAGAAAGTGGACAAGCTGTCCTTGGTCAGACGAACTGGCGCAAACGATGGTGCCGGCTTGTAAGAGGTTCGAATGGAGCCTCTTGGTCATATTACAGGTGACTGTTATTGTTGTTTTCGTGTCTTTTTGTAATGGACACCTTAAGTCTGTTTGGTTCTTTGTTGTGTAAATATCCATGAATATTTAACTCTGTTAAAAGGCTGTACTGAGAAGTCACGACTCACGAAAAGATCGTAAAATATTTATCAAAGAACGTGCCCGAAGCGAGAAAACATCCGTGTACTTGCTGTTACGTATTTCGTGCGGCGAGGGAAAACTTAAAATTTATCAGCTTTTACGGAAGACTCGAGACATTTTGGCTCGTCTGAAGTTTCAGATCTGAGCAATGTTGGTCGAGCGATTCGATAGCAATCGCATTAGGCTCCATAATCAATAAGCTTATATTTACACAGTGATATTCTGTTACCAAACATCTGGTAGAATGATTTAATTATACTTGGAGAAATGATCTCAAAAGTCTTTTGTTTCATAGCTTGTCTTGAAACTTTTTCACACAGTAGTTACACTTACGTATTGCGTTTATGCAACAGTCTATAAATATAATCTAAATGAAACTAAAATATTGGCTAAGGCACGCAAAGCACAAATTCTTAGCAAAATGAAAGAATTTTGATTCACTGAAGGAAGTGTAGTTTTAACCTATGAACCTTCGACTTTTTGGAAGGCGGTATGATCTTGATGAAATTGTGCTAAAGAAATTTATACCATGGCTAGCTCATACTCAGTGTTTTCCTTTTCAGGCAGCTACTGGTAAAATTTACTGCCTGTAGTATTCCTTATAACTGCTTAAAATTGCTTGGAATTCTTGAAAATTGCTCCCAGCTGACCTCTTTCTTTACTTTGTGATTTTTTTCATTTTTCTATCCATGCAGACGACCCATAGAGATATTTCAAACATGCTTTTGCATTTAATTTTGTCAAATCAGCAAATTATTATTTTTTTGAGAAGAAATACAGGATGTGGTTAGTTATACAATTTACAAGAAGGCGTGATGATCCCTTTATTAAAATGAGACTGCAAAATATGGAAAATGTTGATTTCATAACTAGTTTTGTTGATTGATTAGTACTGGATATATTGAAGATTGATCTGGGTTTCTGTTTCTTTTCACAACTGCAGATACAGCCAAGTCAGACAACAATTGTAGATATGCTAAAAGATATTCAGCTTTTGTAATTTTTCTTAAAATGTCTTGTTATCTTTTTATCAGTTTTTTCATCACTCTTCCCTTCAATTTGCATAATTTACCAAACTTTGTAAAGGTGTACACAGTTGTTTATAAAAAAAAAAAAAAAAAAATTAGTAGGTGATGAAAATTTGAGAAATCTTGAAATATTGCGAGAGATTTACCTTTAGAGGACTTCCTGAAGAGATCTGAATAAATCAGTTCTAAGTGTTGTAAGATCTGTTTTGCTCTGTTGAATATCACAAAATTAGCATCATGTCCCATTTTGCAAACACCTGCTAAAAAAACAGACAATTTTTTCAAACAATTATTTTTTCCTGATAGTTGTCAACCTCACTTGCATTGTTATTGTTGGTTGAATTAATTTATGGGGATATAATTGTGGATAACATAAAAAAATGTTTTCAATAACATGCCATAATTTAGTGCACCATTCTGGGTCACATGCCAGTGAACTATTTCTGAAAATATCCCAATTTTAGAAATCCCACTCATTTTCAGTTTCCCTCTATACTTTCATCTTTGGAAACAAATTTTTTTCAACACCTGTGCCTCTCAAAGATCTGTTTTGCAAAACTGATGAATAAACAATCACCTAATAGTGTCAATGCTCAAAAACTCACTCTGTCAATACATTATATATCCAACCTTTTCTCAAAATTCTCTCCACTGATTAAGTTCAGTTAAAATGTGCGCTAGTATCATTAGAAATACTGCCAATAAACACAGTAGTTTTTTCCCTATTTCTGTCAACTTTTGATAACTGAAACTTTTTTCAATTCCCTCAAAAATGCTAGTTATGGGAAGTCAACAGTGTAAACAGAAATAAAATTGTGGTCTAATTTGCAGGAAAATGGATGATATTGCATTAAACCAACCAGCTGGACGGATAGAACTTAATTCCACATGTAAGAATATGTTTTATATAAATTTTAAACTCCCAACCCAACAAGTGGTCTTTTTTGCCCAAGATCTTTTTTTAATTTTAACTCATTACCAACTCACTACATTATGCAAATGAAGTGATTGGACTATGTATTATTTTTTTTATGTATAATACTACAGATGCTGCACGTGAACTTGAAGAAGGAGAAAGAAAGAAGAAACCAAACTGCTTTGCTCTTGGTCCAGTGTTTGATGATTTTGCCAAGAGAACTTACTACATTAGCTGTGGTGAGTTTGTTTGTTAACTTTTAATACTATTTTATAGCAATTCCCCAACAAACAAATTTGAAACAAATAAGAGAGTTGTTTAACATATTTAGTGTTGGCCTCATAGATATGAGATGGTAAATGTTTTATGTCAGTGTGGCTGTAGCTCTCCCTCAGTTTTGTTAAGAATGAGGTTTAGATTTATTATTTCATAAATATACGATTTTGTGCTTTATAAGTTGTTTCTGTAAACTCTTAGTGATATTTGACCTTACTGCCTGGAGAAGACTTGTAGTTTGCTGTCAAAGTGTTACTTTCCCTATCAGAAGTGGCCTTATTGTGTGACAAAAAATAATGCTTTATAAAAATTAATTGTATTGATTTTGGTTGAGGCATCCAAAATTGCTTCTCCATGTAAAGGAAAAGTACAACCTTTGAGGTGAGTAAGATAAAAAAAAATATCAAAATTGGAAAGGAAAGACCCAAAAGGAGTGATTGTAGTCAGGAGTGGGGCAAGTTCATGCAAATTAAATGCTTAGATTTGAAAGATTACAGCTAAATTTTCCTAAGATGTTTTAAAAAATTTGATGCAATGCTCTATTTTTGCACAGAAACTATGGATGATAAGCTAAGCTGGATGGAAGTACTCAATGCAGCAACAGAATCTTTGCAAGCAGAGCCACAAGACAAATTTGAAAAGAGGAAAAAAAGTGTGCGACAGAGGATGACAAGACGAGTATGTATTTTGGAGATTAGTGCAAGGGTAACAGTGACTGACACAAAGAGAAACTGAGTTGAAGTCATCAACAGAATTATTGGTTTAAACTTTGGATTGGATGAATTCTGCTCAGGTTTTATAAACAGAGGTCAATACCACCCACAACTGTCTTTCTCTGGCCTGTCCTTACCTGATTAACCCTTTACTCTCTAACATCAGTATGCATATTCTCCATACTACTCCCTAGACATTTCTTAAGATTCTGACACAGAGAATTTGTTCAACGATCAAGAGTTTCTTTAGTTGATGATCTTCTTCTGTAATCTCATGACCTTAATGTTTGATTTGTGAGTGATGTTGTGAGGAGAAATTAGATGTTCGTCACTGTTAGGGTTTAAAGAGTTAACATTATAATCCTTACTATATGACTTACTTCACAGTCTAGAAAACCATCTAGTAGGCGGCAAGGAGAAAATGATTCCAAGCAAGAAGTTTGTTTGGATCCTGTTCAGAGAATGGAGGTAAATGCAAGCTGAAGACACAAAAATGTTTGTCAGTAAACAGTATTTTGGTTTGGATAGGGATTTGGATGGGTTTTGGTAAGCCAGATTGGAGTTAAGCAGAATTTGATGATTGGGGTTTGTCAAATTTTGGTTCTCCAGAGTGTTGTTGGTGTGATTGTGGCTCAACAGATTGTGGAACTCTGGATTGAAGCAGCTGGATTTTTCTTGGCTAGATCTTGATCAGCTGGAATCTAGTTAGCTGAAGTTTGGATAGCTATAACAGGATAATTTAGTATGGATTCTGATTATCCAGAGTTTTAAATGATCCAACCCTTAAAAAGCTACTTGACTGCTGCCCTGCATAAATATAAGTGAGTTAGACTGCCGACCAAATTTTCATAGTCCTGTTTAGCAAAAATGATTTAGTTTCTTCCAACTAGGACTATTTTATGAAACATTTTTCATCATTAAAATTTGTTTTGTTTAGTTTTGGGCAAGACTCTGTCAAATCATTGAGAGTGAGAATTGGAAGAAGACTGACACCAAGAATGGAGTAACAGTATCACGACTAAGCTTTACACATAACGACAAGGCTGCTGTAAAGGTAAACAGTCTTGTACCTTGATAAAGCAAAAGGTGACAAATGAGCAGTTCCCACCTGCTATCTTGGGATTGTAAAGTTGAGGGAGGTTGGGGAGAGTCATGTGTACTACCCGATGATGTTTTGGCAAGTGGTTTTTTGATCAACCTTAAGATTTACCATGTTTCTTATTATTTTTCATTAATTTTACTTCATAGATTGAAGGTGTCATCCCTGTACCTCCAGACATTGCATTTGATTACCTTCAGCTTGCAATGAAAAAGGGAGGCAAGGTAAGATGCGTGTAATTTTAAAGTTGCATTTGTGCATGTTAGAAATTGGTGACAGAGCTGACATAAGAGATATGGCTTGATGATAATATGCTTTACACTGAGGGTGATACTACCTGTAGTTCTTAACCTTATCATTCTCAAAATCTCTTTAGGAATTATCTTTACTGTCTGTTATACAATTCTCATGATGTTGGTTTCTTTAAGTCTGAAAAACTCTAAGGCTCTGTGCACTTGAATGATAATCTGTCTTTCTATTTATCCTTGAGAGGTGGAGACAGTAATGGACAAGAAATGATAGAAGTCCGTTTAAGGGACACTGTTTCTGTACCCCCCGGGATTTAACCAACTCGAAAATCAATCATCTTGACTAACTTGTATTTGCAATTTCTTTTTTGTTCCAGCTAGACCAACCTTTTCGAGGAGAAGAAGTTTTACAAAAAGTAGAGGGTAAGTAAATGTTTCTTCGTCTTTGAACTTTACTGATGACGGAAAGATTACGCAAGCTGAGTGCAGGTCGGATCAATCCTGTGCAATGAAATTAAGTAAACGTAGTTTTTGCTTTCTAGCAAAGAGTGGAAGGTTATGACCAGACCTTACACGTAGTAACCCATTTTTATTTTCTCTATAAAGAGCAGTTTGTTATTGTTGTTTACGGCGTCATTTGATTACCACCTTGTCGTTGTAGGATAATTTTGGATAATTAACAATCTTGTCGGAGAGCATGGAAGAAGCCGTTGACAATTTTCTGTTATCGTATCTGCAGAGTCAATTCCACACGTCAGCATCGTATATAATAAATACAGTGTTCCTCTGCCAAGTGCTGCCCCCAGAGATGTATGTCTCCAAAGAATGTGGATACCATCGTACTTAACTAGAAATGGAACATCAGGTATTTGTCGATAATGGCGGTTTAGCAAAGAAAAATGAAACAAATGCAAGGTGTACATGTAGTTTGTTTGAAAGGTCTACCTAGTCTACGCAACATTCCAATACCATTCTGTCAGAGAAATTTTTAATTGAGTGTTAAAAAGTCAAACCGTTTTTGTACTATGTTTAGTCCAGAAAAAAAAAGCACGCCACTCTGAAAACTAATCACATGACTGATTTTCTAGACTTTTCCCGCGCTCCAGGCAGTTTGCGTGTTCTTGCGTCGAGTTCATGTGATATTTTCCTATAACCTGATTGGTCGTTGTGATTACTTTGGCTGTGGTTTCGCGACACTTTCGAAATGCACTCCAACCACTGCAATCTGAGCGATATTATCGAATAATGCCACTATTGCGAGTTCACGCCAAAGCTTTGACGCAAATATGTTGCATAAGTTATGCACTCGAACGATGTATAGGCCTAGATAAGGGAGAGGGTGGTCACCTTTTTATCGAAAAAGTGATCATTCTTGAATTTAAGAAAACTTGGCGTCCCCCCCCCCCCTCCAACACCAGGATGATGCTGGTGTAGGACCCTTCCCCCCCTAGTAGGGGAATGTTGACTACGCCCCCTCTTGCGATTGGTGAAATGAGTTGGGTGTCACAATCCACATATTACAACATGATAAATACCATAAACATAGAAAAAGATAAAAATTTACAATAAGTGTCAAATTTTTTTAATATTGTAGGAATGGTGTTATGGTCAACGTATCATTCCCACATTCCACAAGTTCAGGTTAGTCTTTCAGCAGAGCTTGGTTTTTAGAAAAATTTAAACACATCAACTTTCCAAAAGACCAAAACATTAGTGTGTGCGACAATGTTTTTTACGATCACAAACCAAATCAAACCCTAAGACGCGCGCGCCAGGATAGTAGTGTTCTTCTTCACAGAAAGTTGTCGGGTTCAGGCCATATTCTTGGTGACCTTCGAGTGTTATTTGGCAGTCTATTAATCAGTTTTACGGCTTATCTTGTGGCTTGGAGTTGCAATTTCCTGCCCGCTTCGTTTAACAAACACGCCGTCGAATATATCTTTTTAAATCAGACGGGAAGTTGTTTTTGAAGGGCGACAGAGCAGCTTGAACCGTCGCCAAAATAAATCAAATGTTGTTACGAAAAAAAAAAAGAGGGCGTAAGAGGGTACACCATCTTTTACAATTTTCTCCAACTTAGCTTGAAATCTTCTAGCACTTCTATTGCGATTGTTTCGTTTGAAGAAGTTTCATATAAGTGTAGTTACTACGTTTTAAATTGCTGGGGGTTCTAAGTAAGTAAACAAACGTCGCGGTAGTCCATCAATGCAATGAATTGTTGAAGAATTCGTTAATAGGATTTATATATGATTACGTGATAATGGATCAACTTACTTTTTTAATTTACGGAGTGAGGACGAGCCGATAATTTGACAACGCGCTAATATGTCTCTTTCTGGGTAGGGGTTCACAAGAGTGCTTGCAGACGTATCTGGATTTGTGTTATCACCTCACACTTCATCAGGTACAAAAATATATCATCGGTGAATGAACTATTCCTGTTTTGTTAATAGCTTCCTTGTTGCGTTTAGACAGTGAGGGATCTTAGGCTTTCCCTCAGTTGTTAGATGCATTGTAGGATACACGCCCACACAAGATTCACTGTAAATTTAGGGAGGAGCAATTGGCATTCTGGTCTGTTCTGGGCATAGGTTATGCGTTCCGTGAGCTCGAACCTTTCATAACCGCAAAATAAATGGATTACTCTAGCTATAATTAAACCCGCAAATTTTTAAATGAAGTTATCTTTAGCGGAAACACAAGCTGCCACTCGTAAATTGATTCTTGTATATAATCATTAGATCATCGTTTCTAAAGTCCTGTGTAAATAAACTCTCATTCAGGATAGACACACGCCACGTCCATAGCTCGCCAACAACGGAACATCTGTCAGATGAAAGACATCCTAAGAGCAGTTCAAGCTTGTAAATGAATGTCGTAAACTTACACCCTTCCGTCTAGTACACGTCCATCGTCGCACTAAAATGTCCATGTTGTTTGCTGTTGGGTGGGAAACGTTTGTAAAAATCCTTTCCCTCCCCTCCCCCTTCCTCTCAACCTTCCCGTGCTCACCCCCGTGCCCATCTTCCCCGTGTCCGCCCACCCACCCACCCACCCACTCACACCCCCCCCCCCCTCCTCGTGATCACCCTTACTCTCTGCGTTGGGCTTGCTCAAGCTACAATCTTGTTGGCGATTTTCCTTTCTATAAAAACATGAGATGTTGTGATCAGTTTAGTTCCGTGCAGATTATGAAAAGAAAACAAAGATCACCGAATAATCAGGAAGATTTCCTGCACGCTGGAGAAGATGGTCGACGACTTTACGTCTTCAGCGTTAAAAGTGTTCCGTCTTGGCGAATAATTTCATCTCGAATATCAATTGAGATGGATTAATAAGCAAAATGAGTCTTTTTGTAGAGATAGCTCCACTGCTGAGCTTCAGAGATTGCCTGTTTTCATTCATGGCTTTCAACAGCTCCATGTGATACCTCCTTGGTTCTGATTAGCCCTAACTTCTTTGCTTTGGTTTTACTACGCTTAATCGAAATGTGTTATAATATATTGCAATATTCTGCAAAGCTAGAAACATATCAAGGAGCTTGAGGTATTGAACGTTAACTGAAATGAACAAAGGGGATAACTTTCTAAAGAAACTGTGGTGCTTCGTCGGTGGGGTATTACGAGATGATTTTGCTTTATCAACTGAGTCGAAAGAGACGGTTTCTTTGTTTGTTCCAGATTCTTCAGTTCACACAAATGCAGCAATACTGATTCAAATTGACGTCCGAGACTCGTTGCAGACGATGCTGGAAGGTAGCTACAAATCAGGTAAATACTGAAGATATCTCAATTCATGGACGCCACACCTCAGTTATGGTTTTGATTTATTGAACCAAAACTGTGCAACCCTCTTCTCCTTGGTTGAGACACCTTATTGATTGTACTTTTCGTATTTTTCTAGGTCTGTTGAAGGTTGGTTTAAGAACTGCTTTCGCTCACATCAGTAACCTGGTGGAACAATACTACAAATGCGTTCAAGGATAACTATGTGAAAGACGCCGAGTTCAAATTAAAATTAGGGGTTCTCAAGATATCGAAGTTTAACCCTTTAACTCCCATGAGTGACCAAGACAGAATTTCTCCTTACAATATCAATACAATATCGAGCAGACAAGTGATGAGAATAAAGAAAAATCTTAATTAGGGGATTATTAGTTGATCCAATGCCAAATTCTCCAAACTAACATCAGAACTGTACAGCAGACCGTAAGGAGAATTACAAATGACATATTGGGAGTTAAAGGGTTAAAGTATCCAAATAGAGTAAAGGGTCTGTATTACTTGTACAGATGATATAAACAAACAAGAAAGTGCATGTTATTTAATAAGTAATATATAAATTAATAAAGATGGAAATAGACTTGATTATAATGAGTTGTCTGAAAAGATATTTTGCATGTTTATTTTGCGACGTGTGAGAATACTTTTCAAGTGATTGAAAGGAGTGTAAACATTAGAGTACACGCGTGAGATTTGGCGATTCGGCCGTGATGACGAGGTAGTGATATTGTCAATGGCACGTCTTCAAGCCCAGAAACAACTTCACGTAGTTGCCGTTGAAGCAGAGTTCCCCGTGCATGAGCTGGGTCGCAATGATGGGAAAACTAGCAGCAGACCGCAACAACCTTTTACGAAAGGCACCAATAACTTGCGATCTGTCTTTTCCAGTCTTAATTCTCTCGTTTAACTCATATGAAATACTGCATACATTAATTTAACTTCACACTGTGAAACTAAGGTCGTTTGAATCTAACTCTGATTCATCTCTCTTTGATTCTCACTGACTTCTAAGTTAACTCTAAAGTACATTAAATGGTTAAGAATATATGAAAGTCATATATTTGAACTGCGGATAAAGACGTGAATGAAAGTGATCCTCGCAGTAATTTGCACTACTTAGGCAGTAGTGAAAATAAGGCCTGAAAAAAATTCAGGCCTGTACGGGATTTGAACCCATGACCTCTGCGATACTGGTGCAGTACAAAGTAAATTAATTACAAGTACATTAAGTATTAATTATAAGTACATTAGTACTTATTTATTCGCTACCAATGCATAAGTGATCAAGTAGGCCGACCGACCTCGAAAGATAAAACATTTGTTTTCAGAATACTAACCCAAACACTTTTGCAAGAATCTCGCTAATAAAAAACAACACACTTAATGCTTCCAATCACCCGAATTAATCTTTGATATCATAAGCCAAAACAAGAACTTTCGCGAGGGTCCAAATCAAGGTCAGTAAACAAACTTAGCACGTTCCCTAATGGAAATTAGAGCCCCAGCGCTGGATAAATTAGTATTTATGAAACTTATCTTAAAGAAAATTATTGCTTTAGATTTTAGATCGGAAGGAACCCAAGTTTCATGGTAAACTTATTCGCGACGCCTTTTTTCATCAATCTAAAATGGGCACACTGGTTCTCTTTCAATGCGCACGTTTACACGTGAAGAAGGTTTACCCTCAGAGAGCTGTGCTTTTCTCTCAGGATGTTTCCTTTCTTTCTGATAAACTATTTGGGGCTAGATCCGATTGGTCAGATTAATTTGATTACATCACCGCGTATGAACATATATTTTTACTCAAGCCGCTCCAAAACTGATAATGTTTCCTAGTATCATTCACAAGTGAGTTTTTCTCTCTGATTCTTTTTACTGAATGATGTAAGACATCCTATTGATGTCCTTAGCTGTAGTGAATAAAGTGGCGGGAAAAATGTGCGCGTCTACTGCTCATTTTGCGCGGGAAGAAAAACCACGTTTCCGTTTCATTTCCTAAGCAGGTTCTGTTGGCCAAGAAACGTAAAAGTTTCACACTGTAAGGTGTTGCTTTTGTTTTAAAAGGTAACTCAAAGCGACAGAGTAGTTTTTGGTTGTACGATCTAAATTCTTTTCAAACAGCTTGTCGGTGAGAAGTAAAATTTCTCAATGAATTTAGAGCAAAAAAACCCGAACGGTTATTATTATTATTATAGAAAATCATTCACGTCCGAAAAAAATGAAGAGACATCTTATATTTTAATACCACAGGTTTAAGAAGCTTAACAACATCAGAAAAAAAACTTAAATATAATGGAAATTACCACTAGTCGCGATCAAGTGGTGGAAGAAGAATTAAGCGACCAGGAAGAGGTAAGAGAAAATGTTTTTTTCAAAGGCTGTTGAGTTTAATTTAAAAATTTAATTATCGTGTTTTTCTAAAATGTAGCATATATAAGTTATTAATACATTGTAACTAATCAGCTGAATAAAAGGGAGTTTTTTTCCATAGATATAAAATTTGGAATATCAAATATATATATATGAGTATTTTCTACATGTTATTAAACTTTTTTCGCTTAACACTTTAGGATTCATTTTATCAAGACATTGACCTTCTACAGAACCATGGAATTGTGAGTATGCATGACAATAACGTGTAAAGTGACCTTTTTCGGTTCAAATACGCTCCTCTGTACAGTCTTTTAACTCAAAATTCTTGGTTCATTTGTTTTTCAGAATGTGGCTGATATAAAGAAGCTCAAATCAGCGGGAATATGCACCATAAAGGTATGTAGCAGCTTAAAATTTGTGGGCATTCATTCATTGATTGGGGTGTTTGATTAATTGATTGTATTTCCACAGGGTGTGCAGATGACTACAAGGCGAAAGATGTGTCAGATAAAAGGGATATCAGAGGCAAAAATGGAGAAAATTAAGGTGAAATCAATGTTTCGTGACATTGCCAAGACCGCCAAGATTTTTAATTCAAATTACCTTATTTTGATTTCTTCTTTATATGATTTTAAAACTAATAAAGAAAGACACTTCATAGATTTTCTCAAATGTTATCCTTCTTGAAATTTATCCATCCATTACAATTATAATTAGTTTTGCTCCGTTGTATGAGAATATTTGACTGACTAATTACCTTTGATTTCTTTCAGGAAGCTTCTGCAAAGTTAGCTGTAAGTATTTCTGAAAAACTTTGTTACCTGATCCTAAACAATCATTCATCTCTTTTGATCCTCTATATGACAATTTCACTCTTTTTCTTATAGAATGCTGGATTTGTCACAGCTTTAGAATACAGTGATATGAGGAAGATGGTTTTCAGGATTTCTAGTGGAAGCACTGAGCTGGAGTATGTAAATTAAAAGTGAAACCTATTACTTATCTCAGCAAGTACTAAAACACGTTTTTACAACATTCTGTCTTTCCACAGCAAACTCCTTGGAGGTATGTGTTGATCAGTTTCAGATGTATTTTTAACATACTACTTTGACTTTGACTTATTAAGACACATTTTTGCTTGATTTTAAACTTTTGAGTCTCACAATTTTAGGAGGAATAGAGAGCATGTCTATAACAGAGGTTTTTGGAGGTAAAGTAACCCACTGGTATTATAGTAGCAGTCTCTGACTTTTCAAAAGCTACGTATTTATTACATTACACATATCCAATCTTTTTTCAGAGATGATTTTGTAAGTAATCTTGTCACTATTATACCTTAAAAATCCTCTGTTGAATAAAAATGAGGACAACCCTTTTTTTATCAATCAGAGTTCAGGACCGGCAAAACTCAACTGTCACACACACTCTGTGGTGAGTTTTAAAAACATTCTCTGACTGAGTTGTTTTCTCTTTGGATTAAAATGAAGTTAATATTGTTAAATGTGATACCGTTAGTTTCAGCACAGCTGCCAGGTGCAAATGGGTACACCGGTGGAAAAGTGATTTTCATTGATACTGAGGTACTTTTAACTAAACAAATCCATTAATATGATTTATGTGTATGGTCAAGACTATCTGCAATTTCCCTTAGCTTATATTGGTAATGATGATGTTATCTGCAACATTTAGTAAGGCTTCCCGTAACCTTACCATCCATAATCAGTTCTTAAATATGTATGGATGAATGATGTAAACATTATTTTATGGTGTTGTGAACTAAGTGACCATAGTATTGTTTTTAAAATGTTTCCATGAAAGTTCATGGGAGAGAATTTGTATAAGGCCTGAGTTGGAAGACTGGCACTTGAGGGAGTGTCTTTCAAAGGAAATTAATATGCTTGAATGTCTGAAAATGACCATACCCTCAAAAAGGCAGTCATTGGGCTACTTATTGTTAATCCATTGTGGAGACTCATAGACAAAATTATTAAATACAAACTTCACTAACTCATTTAATTTGTTCCTCTTTTAGAATACTTTGTATCCTTTTTTTTTTCTTGAATTTCACACATGTAATCAACCACTCTAAACGTTAATTATTTTGCACTTTTAAGTCATTTCTGTACTTTTTTAAAAACAGTAAATCTGCAACTTTAGCTCCTTAATCAATAATAGCAGACCTGATCGCCTACGAGAGATTGCAGACAGGTTTAATCTTGACCAGAATGCAATGCTGGACAATGTTCTCTATTGCAGAGCATATACAAGTAGGTCACAATACTTATTTGAAACTATATGGATTTTACCATTAGCTGCCCAGCCCATCTTTTTGGTGATTTAATTAGAGTAGTAATGGTTAAAACAATTTTTTAAATCACCATTGTATCAGTTGATTGTTATAATCAATTTTTTTTACAATTCCACAAGGCATAAGATAAATATCACCAATACATATTATTACTATTAAAATCTATAGGTGAACACCAGTATGAGTTGATGGATAGTGTGGCTGCAAAGTTTCATGAAGAACCAGGAGTATTCAAACTTATGGTATGCACAAATTGGAAAATTACAATTTATTGAAAATAGGTTATTATTCTAAAATTAGCTCCTCAAACTTCTAAAATCAAAGGACAAATTTTCTTTAGTAGTGTTCCAACAATGTTTTGTGTATCATCTCTTCCAGATAATTGACTCAATAATGGCATTATTTAGAGTTGATTTTTGTGGAAGAGGTGAATTGGCTGACAGGCAACAAAAACTAGCACAGATGTTATCTCGACTACAAAAACTGTCTGAGGGTAAGCAATAGATATCTGATAGTCTTCCCATTATAAACAGAGAACAAGTAAGATTTTTGTGTCCATCTGCTGCTCAAGTTTTTACATACTCCTGAAACCATTTGGCCCCTCTAAGGGACATATTTTCATGGATGGTCAACAAACCAATTAGCTTTATATCTCTGTCAACAAAGTAGTGTTTACATCAACTCTTAATCCTCTTAATAGCAGCATTTTCTCTATTTCACAGAATTTAATGTTGCAGTCTTTGTCACCAATCAGGTAGTGTGTATATACATACTGGGTAAATCAGCATTTAATTAATGTTGTCCTTTGATCAGTTACATTGGGTGCATCTTCCTAATTTTTGCCATATTTCAGCTGAGAGAGGCATAGTGATATGTTATTCTACTGTTTATTTGCAGATGACAGCAGATCCAGGAGGTGTGTATTTACAAAATAAGCAATTTACATTGAGTGTCAATATTTCATTCCCTATCCTACTCACAGTATATACCTTTTTTTCTCCATTGCTGACTGGCTTGTTGGATAACAGCAACAATGAGGTAAACTGAACCTTTCATGAGAAGGAAACAATTAGCTATTCATTGTAAATTTCTATTATAAGCAAGAAATATACTCACCAAGATTTGATCATTTCTCAGCTTCCAAGCTGATCCCAAGAAGCCAATTGGTGGACACATTCTGGCACATGCCTCTACAACTCGCATTAGTTTGAGGAAAGGGAGGGGAGAAACAAGAATTGCAAAGATATATGACAGGTTAGAAACCTCCTTTAGTAGCCTCTATGACAATTCTTCAATAATTTGAGTCACAGCTTAAGATGATTTTTAAATACAAATAATTTTCATGTAATTATCTACAAGAATTGCATGTGCATGCAATAACTTATTTTCCTATTTCATCAGCAAATAATAAATAAATAAGGTCAGGGCAATATTTCACTACACTAGCCAGATCAGTGTATGATCTCACAAGAGGGACTCTGGTTTTGATTCTCCCTAAGAAATATCCATTTTGTTCACAGCCCTGATCTTCCAGAGAATGAAGCCACATTTGCAGTCACATCAGGGGGCATTGCTGATGCCAAAGAGTAAACATGACACTAAAAAATCATTGCAATATACCAAAACCTTTATTTATTTTATTTACCACTACTAAATATAAACATTTGTTATTCACCATAAATTTGTAAATAAGACATTTTTTCATTCTTTCATAACATTTGAGTGAAAATAAAACTAACCACAAACATATAGGATGTGCATTCCATTTGTACAATATATATTACAGAGAGCCTGATTAAGTTTCCTATCAACAGTCTTAGAGTCTAATGTACAGTGTAGCCTGTCTATTGAACAAGACGCCCTCCATCAATAGGCAACATAGTTCCATTAACCATACCAGCTTTATCACTTAAGAGATAAAGAATGGCATGAACAACATCCTCTACTTCTGCAACAGAATATATTGTAAGGTTTGATTACTAATTTTGCAAACTGAGGAATAATACATGTACTGGGTACCTACTTTTTTAATTTTTAAGAGATTGTTTCAGAAGCCGTAATACATATAAGAAAAATGTCATAATTTGGGGTTAAACACTGTAAATGTATCTTACCTGCAAACCTTCCAAGTGGTATTGTATCTAGCATTGGCTTTGCCTTTGCAGGATCAGACCAACCGATCCTTCCCATATCAGTCATCACAACAGTAGGGTTCACAGCATTTACTCTGATCTGGGTTAAATAAACAATGTTTTCTTATTTGGCAGTGACATGGTTCACTGTTATGAAAATTAAACTAACTGTAGACAAAGGCTTGTTTCAAACCAAGTACTGGTAATTTCATGTCATGTTTTTTTTTCCTTAATACCAACCATCCTTGACCATCACTCACCTTGTAAGGGCCCAGTTCTAATGCCATTGTTTTTGTAAACATATCCATAGCTGCCTTTGTAGAACCTACAACAAATGCAACACCAGTAAAGGTTTATATTAAGAATTGCGGTAGCAAAATGATAGTGTAGAGTGACAAGAGAATATTCTCCTCTGTTGTAGGCCATCATGTCTTGACTTACTCTTTATTGTATAATTCTGCAAATTGTATTTTTTAATGCAGTCATTTTACATCAGTGATTGGTAGTCAAACTTACAGTACAGAGTGTGATCTTTTAAAGCTATCATTGAAGCCTGACTGGAAACATTAACTATTGCTCCTCCACTCCCTTTGGCAATCATCCTTTTTGAAACAGCCTAATAAATGAAATATAAACTGTTTCAAACCTTTAACAAAGTTTAATGAATACACATGTAGCAGTCTTAAAACTACAAAAATGGCTACTATACCTGTGCAATAAACAGAGGTGCCTTCACATTCACTGAAAATATCCTATGATCATAAAAAAAAGATTGCAAAATAAGAAAAACTCTCAAAAAGGCTTATTTATTTCTTAGGAAGTATCAAATAACCTGTGTTTAACTTAATGGCCAAGCTATGATATACAAGGGAGTCACCATGGATAATGGTTATTTATAGTTACCATATGCTGAAAGTGGGGGAAAGAAGAAATCAATGCATAACAAATAATTTTGTTTTCTCCAGTCAGCCAAAAAGCATCAAAATTTTCATACAGATTTGAATGGCAATGCTCATGTGGCCTAAAACATTTGAACACATACTTGTCAAAATCTCCCATCTTGATTTCTTCAAAAGGATCCAATAATGCAATTCCTGCATTGTTTACTAAAAGATCTATATCACCAAGGCTATTTACTTTCTTCACTGCAGCCTCAATGTCAGACAAATCAATACAAACTGTCTGAATTGTTGGTGCCTAATCAAAGAGGAAAATTCAATATTAAAAGTTGTTGTATAATTTTAATCCATGTTTCAGTCAAAAGTAATCTAAGAAACCTTCCCAACTGTATCTGGCAAGTTTGCAAGCAATTATTCCAAGAAACAAGTGTCAGGAGGATGCACAAAGCTTGTATAAAGGCATAGTGACTTAAATTAAAATTTTTAATTGCCAACTCTTTCAGAGTAACTCCAACCTTTCTCAAGTAAGCAAAGATTGAATTACACCTTACTGGTAATGGGTGGGCATAATAGAGTGTTTCAAAATTTCCAAGAAGTTTCTTTCCAATGACACAAGTGACCAGGAATGACCATGAGTGAGCATAAATAACCAAAACAATTCCATCAAAAGTTGTTACTGGTATTTTAAGACCTTATTACATCATATATATATATATTCATTTTATCAAATAACTGACTATCCAGCTGAATTGTGTTTACTGACTGGCATAAAATTGATGTGGAAAGGACAGTAGGAAATTTTGTCAGAAAAACATGTCTGATAATCACATGAGGAGTGTCTCTACTACCTCCTTTCCTCCCCTCCCCATTTTATTAATGATAGTGACAAAAATTATTGTGTTAATAATAATAATAATAATGATGATAGTAATAATGATAATAATAATAATGATGATGATAATAATAGTAATAAAAACTATGAGTCAAAGAATCTAGCTCATTAAGGCAGTTCTTGTAATGAAATCAGTGATGTGTTTGTAATGTAATCTCACTCGTAACTACTTTTGAACTCCCTTGTTTATACTTTACCTCCTCTTTTAGGCTGTCTAAGTCGGCTTGAGTTCGTGATAAAGCGATGACCTCAGCACCACATTCAACTAACATCTTAGCAGTACTGCGACCTATCCCTACCGATAAACAACCACGTTTTCGTCATATCGTTCCTGTATTTTTCGGTCTAACTGATACCTTTAGAAGTACCGTGTTCCGATCTAACGCGACATTTTGCGCCGATTTGCGTGACGTTCGTAAAATCATAGTAATGAACGCCAGTGTATTATATAGACGCGCGCTCCTTCATGCAAACCATGAAAATGCAATTTTTCGTTGTGATAGAAGAGGGAAGATTCTACCTTTTCCAGCACCAGTAACTAAAGCACGCTTTCCTTTAAAATTAATGTCCATGATGCCCGATTAAGCAACGACTTGCTCGCAAAATTTTTTGTTGTTACCGGGACCACCTTAATGAAAGCTCAGAACCCTCTTAGAAAGGTACGAGAGAGGACTGGGAACAAATCAGGCAATCAAATATGGCGCAGGGTTAGTAGGCAAATATATCAGGTGCGGCTAACTGACATTTCATTCACTCCTTTGTTAGATCCCGGGTATGTTACATTGAACATGATTCTCTTTTGAATAACTGGAAAAGGTAACGAACGGCCGGGTATTTCACTCAAATGACGAGAGATATGTATTTTTTTAAATCGAATTTATTTACCTGTTAATTCTCGTGAAGTTTGTATCAAAGAGTCCTACACCTTATACAATTTCGCTAAAACGTAACAAAATTGTCTTTCTTTTTAAGGTTAATTATCTTAGAGAGTCGAGCAATTGCTATCTTTATAAAAGCATCAAAAGTATTTCTTTAGAAAATATTTACACATCATGCAATATACAATTGCGCCACAGAATCAATACAACTACATATTTTAACACTCTGCACTGCCTGTCACATCGTCGTCCAATACGTAAGTTATTCTTTTTTCAATAAAACTTTACACCCTAAGTTCAGTATGCAAGTTCTCCATATTATTCTCTATACATTTTCTGGTGCTACTAACAAGGAGAATTTGTCTAACAATCAAGAGTTTCTTTAGTTGGTGATCATTTCCTTTTTGATCGTGCAGTATGATCTTCCGGGTGAGAATAAAGAAGACTGCTTTCTCAGAGTTAACCCCGCCCCGTACTTGAGACTGATCCGCTGAGGCTGTGGAGACGTCAAACACTGCAGCAACAGTCCTTTTCAGGACCTCACTCATCCGTGCGATCAGACCACTCGATTAACTGTACTACTGTAATACTGTACTATATCTTCTCGATAAAACAATTTAGTATGTACACACTTTGAATGTCCTCTTAACACTCTTTGAACGCTCGTTTCACCAATATTTCTATCTAGTGGCCACTCCAACTTGTGATCTGGAATTTCGTGGTTGTGTCAGTGATTGTCCTGCAACAATAAAATGAAAAGAATGTGATCTTTAATCATTCGCGTCCATAAATAGATCCATCCTTCCCCCGCTTTGATGAGCCAGGGATTCCAGAACGGAAGGGGGTTTATTAGGGATGGGGGGGGGGGGGGGGTGGGTGTATTAGAAACTTGAAGTTCTACACTGAGAGGTTCAGGCCTTTAGAACTCTATATTACCACAGCAAGTTAAAAATCGCTGCCTCAGGGGTTCCAAACCGGCCCTACAGGGTGTTTTAGCTTCATTCAGAAACTCGTTAAGAGATGTTACAAGCCTCGGGAAATTTTTCGAAAAAGGAAGAATGAAAAGGCTCCAAATAAAGAGCTCTTTTCACTCACCACCATTCAATTTTTCAGACCGGCCTTGTTTCGTGTTCTCGGGGAACAACGCCCTGCAATAAGGAGAGAACATTGATTAAAATTACTTAAGGTGCACTTGGGCAAGCCACACAAGTAAACGAAAAAAATGTACCCAAAGCAAAGACAAAATCGAACCACAACATTTTCATAGGCATCGTAATGCAAGAAGTCGTTTACTTCAGTTGAAATGAATACATTGGGAAAAAATTCTTTCGATACCAAACGACTTTGCGAGCTTACTTCGCTACCGTCCGTTCTTAGAGAAAAATCGGAAAGGTGTTTATTGAATGATTAGAGTTGTTAAAAAATAAGAAATAGAGTATCATTTCATTCGCTAACCACTTGCGTTTACCTGTATGATCTGGACTGCAACAGGAACTTCCTACAAAGAGCAATTTCACTTGCTAGTCTGCGAAGGTCGTCTCCCTCAAATACAGGCATGCTCAGAGGCTGAATGGACAAATACATTCTTCATGAGTTAATAAGAACGAAAAAAAATTTATTCATTACAAGATGATCATGAGGTTCATGGTGTTTTTTATTCGCCTACGTCACTGAAAGTGGGGTTATGTAGTGGTGTGAAGTTTGACACCTTGGACTTTGGATATAATGACATGACTGAGTTTATTGTGTTATGTCTGTGGATAAAACACCTAAATCATACAGTGCCTCTATCTCATCAGGGGTTGAAACTCTGGGATGGTGGATACCCTCAAGTGCTTAGCATCCAATCGACAAGGAGCTGGCAGCCGAGAGATTACCATACAAAAAAGATTTTACTGTATGAAAAATAACGGGTAGAACTTTTAAACAACAACAGCAAGATGTGGGTCGACAAGTGGTCTTACCTCGTCTTCACGGAAGCCTTCTGCGAGGAGTCTGTGAGTGAACATGTGTCCATCCGGATCACCTTGACAACGGTGATATCTACAAAACAGGAGACCAGTCAGACAGGTTATCAGTCTGCACTAACCAGTGATCACATTTGCTCTAACTTATTATAGAGGACTTACCTTCCGCCTGTCTGAGAGGCCAAAAGCTGAAGAAACTTGTTCGCCACACTAAATGGAAAAATAAAATACAAAAAAAAAAAAAGTGAGCAGGCCAGGAGAGGAGTCTCTTTGTAGGACATGCGTCATAACTGACGGTAAACGAGAACAACAGAGGACGGAGAGAGAATTTTAAATAAATGCGTGAGAGTAATTTGGATGTACATAGACTTTGCTTCATTTCCATTTACATTGTAAACTTTAGACTTACGATAAAAATCAAACTTAAAGAAACAGTACCAACTCACCTATCGTCACAGTTGAATGAAATACAGTGAACACGCACATTCCTTCCTGAGTTCAACTTTGCCACCTCTCTTAGTACCATAGTCGTACTGTTATCCTACAACAGAATGAGACGATGTGTCAAAATATTAAAAGCAAAACCATTCTCTCGTTTACCTTGTTAAATTTTCATTGGAAATTACAGCAAAATGTGAACTTCCAGAAGATCTAATGAGTGTGCACAAGCGCATTGCTTCGAAAATAAGACGATTCTGGCCACTGCTCTTAAGTTCTGCGGCATAATAAACCATAAACTAACTGGTTTTCCATCAGTCAGTAGGTATATCCCTTGAACGTCTGGATCCTCAAATGCCATCTGAAAGAAAAAGAAATGTGGGCTAAGATAAGAATCTAGGAAACACTCATTCAGATCCTTAGAAGTCACCACTCTCTTCCCAGCGTTTGTTTCCTCCCAGCGGCGGGCCTATCTAATCACACACATAAATAAAGATGACTGATATGGAAAAGACGAGTACGGTAAAAGGGCGGAATTAAAACGGCTTAGTATTGCTTCCAAAGCAGTTAACACAAAAGGGGATTAACTACAAAACCAATCATCAAACCTGAAGGGCTTGTAATGTACTCGTGCTACCATTGGCGTCAAAGTCAGAAACCCATTCAACAGCATCTTGACAGCTGTCATCTGACGTTGACATTAAGCTTGGTTTCCATGACACCACTTCGGAGGCAAACCGAATGAGATTAAACCTACAATGAAGGCAAAACATATTGTTAAATGAATGACAACTAAAGAGATGCACATCGAGAGCAAATTAATCCGAGGCAAACACCTCCTTAATCTCAAGATAGTTTACATCCCTATCAAAACAATTCCGCTCGAGGTTTTTTTAACGTGCGTAACACGATCGTCGGTTTTGTTAACATACTTTGTAGCCTGGTGTCTAATTTGGTCCCAGACAAGCGCAACCAGCTCTCGTTTCAGTTCATCCATGCTACTGACCATGGAGCCTGAAGTGTCGATCAACACCACCACCTGAGAAATAAATAACGTAACATTAAAAAAATAACAAATAAGCAACAACAACAACAACAAAATGAGGCCACAAGTCCGATAAGAATGGCCAACGACCTGAAAGACTGTTTCCCCTTCATCCGTTGAACCCTAAGAGAGATCGGCATCTAATTTCTCCTTACAGTAATATTGCTGACTCATTCATTACGATCATGAGAATGACGGAAATGATCGCAAACCTAATAATCTTCGATTATGAAACGAATTCTCCTGGTCAGTATCAAAGAAAATGCATAGCAGAGAGTATGAGGAATATGGATACTGATGTTAGGGTGTGAAGGTATAAACGAAACGTGCAACGGGCAGTGAAACGTGGATGAAGGAGATAAAGGAAAGGTAGCAGAAAAAAAAAAATAGTTCGCTGTGCTTCGGCCGCTTACTTACATTTTTCTCGACTATTGTGCCAAACACACGTTTACTACCTGGTGACAAAAAAGAGAAATACATTTTGGACTAAAAATAAAACAAAACAAAACAAAAAACTCTTACAACTATTAATAGAGGGAGGTTGCAGTGACAGAGTTTTCGTTTCATTGGTCAACATATATGGGCTGTTCCATTAGTTCAGTCAACAACCAGCGACGCTGTAGCACTAATAAAGGGACGCGAATTAAGGCTGGTAAAAGCCTCCCTGCTTTGCCGTCAGTTTTCTTTAAGAGTTGTATAATACTAATGAAACCCCTGGAACAGGCTTTACTTAGACTTCCACGCCTAAGGAGACGATATGCCTAATCCACCAATTTAAACTAGCTTTCGGCACTAAGACAGGTGGAAATTTTCATACAACTAACTGTAGTTCGATCAGAACTTCCTACAGTCGCTTATACGATAAATAAATAAATAAAAATTTAAAATCACCGCTCAGTAACCACTGCAGTCTTTTCACGTATCTTCTTAAAACCTTTTCCACTTGATCCTCATAATCTTCTAATTCGTGCGGTAGCAGATGGAGATGTTTCACAACTCCCTGAAAAATTATGTCAACAGTATTTTCCTACATTAATGCCTTGATACACACTCAGGTTAATGTCTTACTGTTATTTTCTTCGTAATCTTTCAAAGAATAACTATTCTTGCATTCTTATAAAAAAGGACAAATCACCAAAACCCAAACAAAAAACATCCTGTTTTTCTGCTAGCATAGAGCTTAAACTTTGACGAGGATTACATCCCGCAGATACTTAAAATCCGTACTCTTTAAAAGGTAAAACAGCCATATTTTTTAAAACCTCAGAAAAGTGAAAATGAGAACCGCAGTAAAGTAATACTGTGAGCTGGATATCAGCAGTAGGACAAGATGGTAAAACCAAAAATACATTACCTTAACTTCTACGCTTGGGAAAATGTTGCAGTATCTGAAAAATGATTGGAAACAAACGATAAATTCAAGTAATTTGATGTGGCGCTACACTCAGTGTATATGACTCCTAGATTATGATTTCTGAGGAATACTCTCCTAAGGATTATTAAAATGTTTCTCGTAAAATAGCTTCTTTTCTAGAATTGTCACTGAGGATCACCTTTCCAGACCCACAACAACTGTCCTCGCTTCAATATCTTGCGTAGCAGGCGACCAAAATGCGCGGAAGGCGCGGGAGAAGCCAGACACGCTGTAAAGAGAGCGGCATCAGTATCTCACGCGCGACTTCTCGCTCGCGCACGCCGGGCTAATCAGTCGCATCCGAATAGAAATCAGTGAATCCTATTACTTAAGGTTAACTGAAAGAAACCAACTAATGTTGAAGTTTTGACGGTTGAATAGTATAAATGAGGCATACAAGTTTCACATTTCATTCACTTACCTTGCAGTTACTGACTGTCCCAGAGATGATACTTTTCCTTTCGCGTGTGAACATTCCGCAGTTCCCACAATGTTATTAAGGTCCAACTTAAGCTTTGAGAGGCTATAATGACGCATCCACTGAAAATTAAGGCAAAGATACTTAAGAATTCTGTGTGATCGCGAGTGTGTGCACATGCAGGCTCTCGATTGCCATTAAGACAGAAAGAAATGGAAGAAATGGTGCGACTGGAGCTAGAAAGATAAGCCGGTCTGCGAGGATATCAAATCAATGACGCACTCACTAAGGGAAGGGGGGAGGGGAAGGAAGAGAGTGGGAGTAAGGCCCGCTGAGTTGCACTTGACTTTCTTGCCTCGCCGACCGCTTTCCTTTGCTCAAAGTCGCCTTTGCATAAAGAGATAACAGAAAAAAGCCACAGATATGAATTTCTACCTCTCTGGTGCTAACGCTTTCCTCTTTGTCGGGTATAAATGGATGCTTGATCGGTCGTCTGACTTTCTTTTTGGAAGGATACTGAGTGAAAACTGCACCTGCGTGAAAGAACAAGACGTGTGTTTTGATGACGTACATAAACCCTGTCTGCCTTGTTCCACCCCAAGGGAGCCCTCTCTCGCTCCAAGAAGAGGGAAGGGGGGGGAATTAGGGGAACGTAGAGCCAAACTGAAAGAGCCTGAGAATGCGACTGAGCCTGGTAACGAGTAATAACAGAATAAAGAAAGCGTGATATTTATTCGTTATCTTTGAAACAATTTTCTTAATTACACCATCGATTACAAAACAAACCTGTTTCATTTTTCCATTCGGTGTAAAAAGCCTGCTGAACCGGTTTAACGCCACCTGACCACGGTCTTCTCTCTTTGACAACATTTTTAGCCGGAGGAGCTGCAGAAGACAGGAAAAAGATTCTATCAAGCGAGGTACGGGTCATATGTTAAGATGGGGGTCGTTAGATGCAATTTGCAAAACTTAACGTAAACCAGGATTACATTGGTTTTGTTTTATTGTGCCTTGTGATTGGTTCAGAAAACTCTCAACCAATCAGAAGCAAAGTACAACAAAACGCACCTCAGTCATCCACATGCTATACATTTCCTTGCATATTAGTTGGTGTTAGATCAAGATAAGACTTCTTCCTTTTAATTTGAGTATTCTCATTACCTGTTTATTGGATAATGTATGGATATTATGTGGGGAGAAGTTACGTGTTAATCACTTCTAGGAGTTAATCCCTCACTCACGTGCAGGTATAAGAGAGGTAGTACTGTTCACTGTGGGAGGTTTCCACTGTAGGGCCTTCAACGTCGATTCCTTGGTTTGAGATGATGCACTTTGTGGCCTGGCCTTTTTACCACTTGTTGAGGAACTGGGTCTACTAGAGCCCGCCGTCTGGGGACGAATACTCTGAAAACAGGAATATGCATGTGACTAAGTTTGTGACCATGAGTTCTCTGACACAAACATGTTTATGAGTTTTGGTAAAAACAATTACATGTGTAAAGAAAGTTGACCAGAAACCTCTACTCTTAAAAAGGTTTCATTAGACGGAAATTTTTTTGAGAAACTTATTAGATAAAATCCCTTAAGGCGTTTGAGAGGAGAAAAGTTTAGGACGTGTGTGGGTAGAAATTTCGCATGTTACATGCGTGGGAGAAACATATGTCGAATTAATTTCTTAGGTAAAAATTTAATATTTTTAAATTCATAAGCAACCTTCAGCTTTATCTTTCCGCATCAAACTCCAGTTTTTTTCATTTTACAATCTAATTAATTCATTCTCGAGATTTGTCTAAAGCTTTTTAGTTTTTGCCTAACAATTTACATCCGTGTCAAATCGAAAAAGTTAAAGTGGATTTACAATCTAAATGGATAATACATTTGTGATTTTAATAGCAGCGAGAGAGAAACAGAAGGAAGGAAAGACGACAGTCTTAAAAACTTTCTAGTTCTTACAAGATCTTCGTTTGTAGCTTTTATCGGAGGCAAAGCGCAGCCACCCTTTTTCTTCTAAACAAAAAACAAACCAAACAATTTATACAAAATAACACTTTAAGTTTAACATAACTCACGATAAATCTGTATGCATACCATGGGAACACCTTATCACGGATTTTAATATGTACCTTAAACTCAACTAGTCTAAAAGCATTTACTTAGAAAGAAATTCTGCAATGATTTTAATTCATACCTGGATTTAATAATTTATTCCTTCGCCGTTTAGTTGTTTTATTAGAGGTGTCAGTAGCTTGATTTTTTGTTGTTGTTTTTTTTTTTGCAAAGAACACTTACAAATTTAAGCTGGAAATAAAGGCGTTGTTTACAATGTGGTGTGAAAGTTTCACTTTTTAGCCTAGCTTTACAGTAGCTACTTTCCAAGGACCACTTTTAAGTCCCGGTGGCAGGCTGTCCTTTAAATTTCGTTTTAATCTCTTTACAATACCCTCCACTTGTTCGGTGCCCCTCACTTCCCATAACAGCATTACAACAACAAGGGATTCTGAATCAGTTTCTAGGTGGCAAAAGTATCAAGACACCCACATACTCCTGGTAAAAATTTGAAGGTGTAACGTCTCACTTAACAAAAGAAATCTAATGTCAGTATTAAGAGACTAACAGTTGTGTCAGGGCCTTTCAATATTCTGATATGATTCCACTTAAATCACTTGTCCTCGGTTCTCTCAAAAACGCTTTTGTCACTCAGAAAAACCCATCAACTTTCGAATGATAAAAGGTCCCCTAGGCGACCATCTTGACAGAGAATAAACAAGAAATCGTACCATTCGAGCCTTGGTTAGTGCAGTATGTCTAGGTGGGGTCAGTGGTAATCGGGACTTGCCAGCAGATGGCGGCCTGGGAACAAGTTGATTTTCACCATCATTTGAGTCGCCAATCTGAAAGAGAAAGTGGAGAGAGAGAGAGAGAGATAAACAAATACTTAAGCTCCTCTTGGAAGGCCCTTGTAATTGAGGAATTTGAACCTTTTCACACATGCGAGTGACGAAAATGGAATTTCTCCTTACAAGATCAATACACTTTCAAGAGCAAAGGTGACGAGAAGAAAGGATGATGTCAAACAAGGGGATATTGTTTGATTTAACAAAATATTCTCAGAGCAAAATTTGTAAGAAGTGAATGGTAGACAGTGCGGAATATTGATCTTGGGAGAGAAAGAGTTAATATAATAATAATAATTATGAATCCTCTAGACGTAAAGTTGGACAAACATACCACTTGCGCCACTGGTTTTTTCTTTCTAACTGTTTCCAAGAGAATGGAAATCTGAAAAGAGGTATTACTCAAGATCAGGCTATTCAGTGCTAGTAGATTACGATAACCTCATCCGATTCGGGGGGGGGGGGGGTTCCGACCTAAATATTCCCTCGGATCGTTCGACATTGAATCAAGTTAAAACTGAAGTAAACCGCGTACATCTACAATTTTTTCAACTTTTCTTTAACAACTGTACCTTTCGAGATCAGATTTTTGGCTATTTCCTGTGGAGAAGTCACCGCATTTATGACACCTGTCAGTGAACCTTGCTCCCAGAAGCTGTTTTCAATTTCTTTGGCAAAGGTTTTTGTAAAGCTTTGTATTAAACACGTCTAAGTGAAAATCAGGCATGATATTTTTTTGAAAAAAGAGACTTAAAAGGAAAGAAACTTGACAGCTTTTCCCCAACTCATCTACCAAGAAATACGGGGTAAATTCGAATTAAACGCTGAGTAAAAATGTGTAAAACGAGATGGGAACATTACTTACTTTCTGAGAGTAATTGAAAGTTTTATCCATTTCATTTAACACAGCCCCAAGATCATCACTTTCGACAATTGCTGAAAAAAGTAGAGAGTAACGATGAACATTATAAAACCTCCATAACATTACAGTTGAGCTTGGAAATTTATCAACAACTCCTCTGCTGAGATTTTGCTTCATGCTATTTACTTGCTGAGACTATCAAAAAGTTCCTTCTGAGTTGAGAATATCGAACCAGGCCTTCAAGTGATAACAAAACCAAATTCATGTCGCCAAACCAAGACTAAAGAAATCACCAACGGCACGGCCAATTAGAACGAAGTGCAGGTATTACCAACAGCCAATGACATCGCACCGAAGCAAATGCATGTTTATGTCAAAAAGCGCGGGAAAACTGACGCGTCTGATAGAGTTGCGATTGGGATAAGTTTTTCACCTGATTGGTTGGAAGAGGTGGCGCGAGTTTCCCTAGACCAAACAAAGGGTATGATAATTTCAACAAGAGAGTTAGGGGTAAGACGATCAGTTAGTCAAGGGATAAGGATTTGATGTCATGTCAGTCCTTATGTTATGGAAAGCACTGGGGTGGATGTACTTAAGCTGGATGAAATTGGAAAGAACGGAAGGCAGAAATCCCTTAGGCGTAGTAAATCTGAAGACAGGAACTAAGAAAAAGCATTGCTCAATTCACCTCCACTCCTATACCAGTGGAACCGGCCATTGACAGCATGAGCCATCTGTCTCAAGCACTCAGCGGTCTTTCCTCTGTCGGCGTACTTTCCCGGTATTGCTATCAAGCCATCTTCGTCATCCACCTCATAGAAAATAGTATGCACTGCTGTGTCGGAGCCGGCTAAAGCTTCACGTAAAAACCCACAGACTACCTCCTGAGAAGAGCGAAACAAAATTGCCAAGCGTTAGTGTGGCAAAGTCAACAGTGACAGGAGTTAACGATCATCATGTGGTGAATAAAAACATGAGGGCAGAGTCGCACTAGGTATTTCTGTTCTTTTGGGTAAAAAGGACGCATTTATAAGGAGTGCTAATTGCAATTTCTGTAGAAGTAAGTTCTGTAAAGCGCAGTTTTCAATTGAGTGTCGAAAGTAATCCAGGATTGCGGTGCTTTTATTTAACTTTGCACTGTGATTGGTCCAGAAAACTCGAAACATCCTCTCAACCAATCAAATGCAAAACTAAAAACTTGGCGCGGGCAACTTGGTCGTCCGCGTTTTCCCGCGCTTTAGGCAGTTTTGTTGCTTTACATCTACTTTAAAATTTTCCCTACCTTTGGTTCATCCGGGACTCCACTTGTTATTACATAAATCCCTTCAACTTCTAAAGGAAAAAAGCGTTATAAGAAAATCGGCAACCTCAAATTAGACTGTGGTGACACTTTCAGATTAAGAAGTAACTTTTTTTCTTACCAATACCACGAGCCTTTTCCTCCTCATTTTCCACAGCTTTCCTAAAAGCATCCAAAAAGTTTCTGCTTCCAGTGCAACCTCTCCGAAGAAGCCACCTACAGGTGAAATGATTACATCATTTGACAAAAATACACTTCGATGTGGGTTAACGTTTGTTCCATTGGAATAAAATGTTTTCTTTTTCTCTAAGCCTAATGAAATTTGCTAAATGTTACCTTTCTTTCTGACAGAAACAGTAGATTCTTCAACTTTAGTAAAATCACACGATCACATGAAATCTTAGAGTCGTCAAAAACCTGTTCATGCAGCTAGTGCTTTGGTAAATATCTCCGAGTATAAAATGATTTGTTGTATTTTGCATGTTGCATCCAAAGTTCTCTGTCGCTCAGCAGTAGAGCATCAAATTCTTCTTGGGGGAAAGGGAATTTCCATGTCTCTTTTCACAACGCTCGTGGTAAATCTTTAACATAAGTTAACATAAAAACGACTTACTTCCAAGTCGCCTCAAGATACTCAGGAGATGGTTCTACCATGACGGGGCGAAACATCTCAGTTTTATCACCAAAACTGAAATAAAATACGACATTTTTCGAACAATAAAGCAAGCCTCAATTATAAATACTTTTCGATATATTGCCAAGGCTGTAATTTTCTACTAAGTCCCCCCCCCTCTCATCTAGCAAGTTCCTTTCCTACCCCATACTCCTCAGCAAAAACTTTAAAATAAACACATCGGGCAAAAAGTAATGCCATCTGAATAATGCACTATAAATTTCTACACCGTACTATTTTTATTTATTTGAGTTAGACAGCGTTTCAGCACAAAATACACTGTACAATATTACGTTCCATTTTGGATAGCGTTGATTTTTTAGGGAAAGAGATAAGTAATGTAAAAGGTTTCCTTAAGTTCGAGGAAAAATCCAAAGGACAAGTAAGGGAATCAACAGCCAACTTTGTAAATGTAATTATTCAATTCTGCAGACATATCTAAAATCTTGTAAGAGCGTTCCTCTTTGAGTAAAAACACATTTACGGTGGAAATAAATCTTGATTTAAACGTTCCATTACCAGATAAAGTTGTAGGAGGTCTTGTTGGCCATTTGTTGTTCAAGTAAAAGTCTGAGGTGATCTTGAAGCTTAGGAACAGCTGGCGACATACATATTGACATGTCCAACAACACAATAACCCTGCAAGAAATGAGAAAATGCTTAAAGGAAGGAATTTTGACAGCTCCAGGACAAAGAGGAGGTCAAGAGGACGCTTGAGGTATCTCTCCTCTCCTAGCTACGCTCCTGAACAAGGCAATCATGTGCTGTTTAGGCTATAGATATCTCCTGAAACTCACAATATAACGATGGAATTTGCTAACACATAAGCAGATGAATATTTATCAGATTCATTCTTTGAGCTGTTTATATATGTATGTATATTTATATCTGAACTAGAGGCATTTGTGTTGGAGCCACTTTGCAGTTGGTGAAGACTCTTCCAAGCTTGCTTTCAAAATGGTAAAATTTCCTCTGCATCAGGAGTATTGTGTATCACAGAGGTATTTGCGAGAGTGTTCTTCCTAGGCAGTAAAGTTTTGTGCTCCAGCCGGACAATTTGAAACTGAAATTACCTCTTTTCCACAACTGTTCCAAATATTCTTCTGCAACCAACCGAAAGCCAATCAACGCGTCTTTTGTACAGGTGAACGGCAGATTCCAAGTGACGCTGTAAAAACAAACAAACAGACAAAAACCAAATGATTTCTGTCTCTTGATTCAATTTCAATTTAACTTTTATCACAGACAAATGAAATCTGCTATTTTCTGCAATAATCTGAATGTTGTATCAGTCCGCTCTAGACTAAGGGGAAAATTAGGCATAACAAAAATATCTGAAAAAAAAAAACTAACGGAAGAGTAACAAAGGCATCAACAAACCTGATAATCAAAAAGCAACGTTGGATCGACATGCACATTCTTCACAGATCCATCATGCCATTTAAACTGTGCCATACTCTGTACAATAAGTAATAAAAACATATAAAATGAAAAGGCTGCGGAATTTTTTTTCTTCCGAAAGATATATTGATCCAAAAATACAAAACAAACATCGCGAGAAAAAACTTCCAAACGTGAACCTCCACAGCGAAACAAGTCTCGTGGAATATTGTAATGTGATTTATACCCAGTTTTAAATGAGTTCAATTTTTTTTTTTTTCTAAACCTTAAAAGACGCGTAAGTCTAAAAAGAGACCAGCATACCCTCTCATAGACCAGAGAATGCACATTTCTGTTGATGGCAGAAATGTATCCATCCACGTACGAGAATGAATTGGGGGCTAACACTTGATAAAGATTGAGTCCCTTGGCTGTAAAGAGGGAAGAATAATAAATAACAGATAACAATGACCAGTTCAAGGGATGGCTTTAGTCAAGTAATAGTTTTTGGAGATCTTTGGCTCAAAACAATCTTCGGCATGGTGACTTAATTTTTTCTTGTGCTTGAAGCTTGAGGTGCAGTCAATAAAAAAAATCTGTTTTATTTCTTGCGTGGCAGGCAAAGGGCATTAAGAAAATGAAAATCTATTTCCTTTGGTTTCTCATGCTTCTGATGAATTTTTCAAATTTCTCAATGACCGTTACAATTACTTTGGTTTTAGTTTTTTCATGACCCTCAGACGGAAAACTCACTAATTGAATCAAAATAAATAAGTTGGTTACCTTTCAACCCATGCTGTCTCAGCCACTCAGCTGATGTTCTGGCTGGAAATGAGGGGTGTTCAACTACAAGTGGAGAGCTGTCGGTTTTCAGTATCTCACCCTCTTCAGGTGGTATCCTCATAAGCTCCAGACCTTGCTGAACCTTGACAAAGACAAAGTAGAAAGTCAACACTGCATGTTGGAAATGCTGGTGGTTTTCAAAGCACTACAAAGTTTTATCCTGTTATCCAGATAAACGTTACCTTTGATACTTACAGTGCTCACAGTAGTGCCGACACCTGTGTGCATGACAATTTTTTTGTCACCAATGACTCCATTTTTCATCTCATGGATCTTCTTCAAGATTTCCTGAGCCTTCTTCATTTCATCAGCTATTAAACTGAGATCAGTTCCAGTCATAATTTGTTCCTGGAATGGATCAATGCATGTTGAAAATTGGTAGAAATTTGATAAAACAAAAAATGACCCATTACGTTCTCTGTTTTATTTGACTTAATAACAATGATTACAGCCATTAGCATAACATAGTCCTTTATACACCGACTCACATCACTAGTTGAGACATAACAGTGATATCTCCCTCCTGTCTGTTCAGCAAGCTCCTGAAGAAACATCTGATAAGATAATTATGGTTAATATTTTCCTTTTTTCATTCAACATGTGCAGTGGACAAAATTCTCCTTCAGATTGCAAATACTGTCACTTTACACCTCAATAAAGTTGTGCTAGAGTCACCCTCTGTTATCAATCATTACAAGGAAGGGGTGTGATGAGGTAAGTTGTAAAAATTTCTTTTTAAACATGTCAACCAATCTTGCCACAAATTTAAAAGATCAAGACACAGGTAATGTGCCCCTTGTACTTGAGCATAAATTTTTTATATTTTGTTGGATTTATGAGGGCAGTGCAGAAGCAGAGCCTGGTTGCCACAGGCAAGATCTATTACTTTGCATTTATAAAACTTTTAACAGCTGGGCATTCCAGATTTCTGAGACAAGAGCTTTCAAGCACATAATAATTTGTTAAAAGGCACAGCTTTGACTAGAGCCCATGAATTTATGGTGTGCTTATGCTAACAAGGGTGTACTTACATTAGTTGCTGAGATGCTGCAGTCATATGCTACAGTATGTAAAGGAGCGTTTCTTCCTGCCAAAGACTCACGGACATACTCACATATTACTTTGGGATTCTGGTCAGGGCTGCAAGACAGTGAAATCATTGAAAATAAATTGACATCACAATTACATCTGTAACCTCATAACAGCCAAATATGCAAAGGTCAACATTGAATAATGATATTTGATCATACCAGCTTCCCAAGACCAGAACAATAGAGTCTATCTCTTTTCTCTTGACAACCTGTTTAAGTGCAGACAGAACATTGCATCCACCTTGAGGACGTAAACTGTTGGCCCACCAATGAGACTCTTCAACACTGAAAACAATTTTCAAATCACATGAACATTATTAGAGATAGAGTGAAGAGTTGAAAGATATCTTGGATTGCACTACCTGAAAGGAAATCTAAAATCCTTTTCAATTAGCATGGTCTCTCTGTGTTCAATAATTCTGAGGTAATCAGAGAACAGACTGTAGAAAATTATTATTGGTCCATACTAAACAGATAATAATTTGTTATTAAAAATTATCTCCTACTTGAAAGTCTACAACTTACATGCGACAGTTCACATCCCTGACCACTGTCCATAATGGCTTGGGTTGGGTTCCAAATGATACCAGGAATAGTCTTTCTTTGTTGGCCAACTGCTCATCAATAAGCTCCTTTAAGAATCAGAGATCATGATCATTTGCATATTGCTTTATCAGCCTCAAATTTCCATAGAACTGTAATTATAACACGAAGTTTATGAAGTATTAATGTCATACCCCAAGAGATTCTTGAAAAAGCTGTAGTCTGCCATACCCACAGTTTGAGTCTGATGCATCAACTAACAGAGCTACATTCTGGCCTTTCACCAAACCAAATGCCTGAGTACAAGGAAATCAAAACTGATTAATCATGGTCTGAAAGTTGAGCCATTCACTAGTCAGAACAGGTTCAGTTTGTTCCCTCTGAAATATAGTTACTGACATCTAATTCAAAGTAGCTATAGGTCACAGAATCTCCACACTGCAGTTAGGCAACTGGTTAGAGAACTACATGTTGCTAGCACACTGCAATGACCAACTACAACTAAAAACAAATACTACCAATAAGGCCAAAAGAGAAGCTTTTATGGGCAAAATTAGAAAACAATTGATTCAAAAATCAAGGATAACTGAGTATACTTGAAAAACCTTTTTCAAGAGTTCAATATGTTGAATGATGCAAAAGTTCCAAGCAAAGTGCCATTCAAAAATCATATGCAATTGCCATAGAGCTGTAATGTTTAGAGCAAAATATTGTTGTTGGGCTGAGCACCACAACCAAACTCCCTTTGTTGCATAATCATCTCTTCTCTTTTCACCATCCCTTCCTGCTAAGCCCTTTATCCTATCTACACCAGGGATTTTTATTTCTCCCTCTTTTCCCAAACTGCTGTCCTGTCATATCACTCCCTTCTGACTCCCTGCATCATAATGTAACTATTCCCTCAAAACAAGGAGTTTCTCACCTCTGATTACAGTTTTGTACTATCATGGAAAAGAAATTATTAGACAGTAAAGCAAACATACCCTTCTACTTCCTTTCAACAACCAGTTTATTCTCTGCTGGCACAGCTGTATCAGACTGAAAAAAAAAAACATTTAGAGCCTACTCAGCATAACAATCATAATAGTTCCAACAGAGCAATTTACCTACAAAGTACAATACTGTCATCAAACAGTTAGGTTTAATTCCATAGAGTGTTAAAATTTTCTCAAACAACTACTGCCTCCTTGCATAGATATGAAACCTAAGAAAAAAGTATGTATCATGACCAGCTACCAAAGATCACCAAGATGTGTAGAATAGGGTTAAAATGAAAAGACAGGACAGTTGTAACAACAACAAGGAACTGAAGAGTCTCCCTCAATTCCAAATTGAACATAGAGGAATTTAAACCAAGTTTTCTTCTCCACACCTTTTATAGCACACACGTAAAAGACAAGAAGAAATTACATTGACTCAAGAAGCAGCTTACTTGGTAATTTTAAATTCAAAATCTTGCAGCTTGACAGGATCATACTTCATGTGAACTTGACTTGGATCTGAGCCAAGGGGAGGTCTACATGTGACAATATCATGAAAATTAGGTTTGGATAATCATCAAAGGTATGACCTTTTTGAACTAACACCAAATTTTTAAGACATGCCAACAAGGAATGGACTAACTTAATAGGAACTCCACATTTCATGATTTCATCAAATGAAAGAGCCTCTGCTTTAATGCTGTGTCTTCCCAGCCAATCAGATGAAGACTGGCCCTCGGCATGGGCTGCTTCCAATCCAATCACAGCCTACAGATCAAAATTTGACAAAAATTGAGTCAATAAAGCTTTATTAAAATACTCAGAAATTGATTGCAAGAATTAGTGCAGGAAACCTTTGCTACAATTACTTTGTGACATAGGTGAATATAAAAAAAGTCAGTCCTATTTATGTGACTGATGGGAATGACTCCTTCAACCCTCTTACTTCTAAGAGTGACCAGGGAGTAATTTCTCCCAACAATATTAATACACTGGTAACTAGAAAGTTGATGAGAATTAATATCAGTAGGAATGAGGGGGATATCATTTGCAGGAGAAACAGTCTTTGATGAATGTAAGGTAGACAGTATGGAGAATTGCTCTTTAGATCTTAGGAGTGAAAGGGTCAAAACTTTTCATAACTAACTGCAAATATTTTAAATGAAAATCAAATTTGTAATCAAAGGCTCATAATTTGTTAAAAAAAAAAGAGGTAAGAGAGAGATCTATTTATTTTCCCAAAGATGTATTTATTTATTAAATAAATACCATACACAGAAAAAGAGACCTCACTGTTTATAACTGGATGCAAATGTTATATATCCGCTCCAGCAAAATACTCTTAAGTAATCATCACCTCTTGACCCATAACTAAATAATAATTTCTCTGATCTGTGCAGACTACACTAACTATAATTCAATAACATGTACATTTATGTGATGAACAGAAAGCAGAAAGCATATTCAATAAGAATGTTACACAAAAGTGTGCTATTCAAGTCATAAATTGAAAGTAGATATGAAAATAACATGTTGAAAGTCCGATCAATCTAAAATTTTAACTCTTACAAAAAAAGAGTAAAAATAATAGTGTGCCCAAAATTAATCTAGATGCTCTTCAAAACAAAAAGATTACATCATTTTCCAGAAGTGTTTTCAGTCATGAACAAGATTAGTTTATTGTTATCATTTTTATGTACCTGATCTTCATCCAAGCTTTCATTAGATGAGTACACCAGACACTTCTCTTTAAACATTTTAACTCAGAATCCAAGAAAACAAATATATCTGACTCTCAAATGTTATTTTTTCTTGGTCCAAGATTAAGTGCTCTACTTTCAGACAAAAATAATTATATCTAGAGTAATCCAGTGAAAATAGGTTTTTTAAAGCATTCATCTAGCTTAGTAACCAAGGTACAAAAGGAGCAGGTGTTAAGGAGCATATTTTATTCATGAGATAATTATTTAAAATAATGTAAATTTTATATGGATCACATGTCACACAATCTGATATGAGCACATTTAAGTTACATCTCCATTTTTTGTTTGATTCTGGCTTCTTGCAAATAAATAAGACAAAGAAAAAATTCAAACCAAATTAAAATTTTAAACAAAATTGTTCTTGGGATTACATGTGGTAACCTAAAAGAAATGTTTAACCCTGTTGATTTTTATAATAACTTTGGTTAAGAAAGGGAAGTGAATCAAAGAGAACATTATTCTTGAAAACTACAGATCCCAGTAGAAGAACATAAACTCAACATTATGTGCCTCTAGTGTCAGTTAGTTACCTGTAGATCATGGGCCTGTGACACTGATGTTACAGTAAGAGCCCTAGGGGGTAGGGCATCATTTGTCTTCAGCATCTGCCAAGGGGGGCGTGTCTGAAGGGATTGCACTTCATCTGCATAGCTGCTGGTACCATCAGCATGGTCTGTTCTCTTTGTGCGAGGCTTGGGTCTGGGGGGACTTCATGAAGAAAATTTACAAAATAAATCGAGAAACCATAATTTCTTTATCCTCTTTATTTAGAAGGTTTGCTTACTGAAGAATCACTGTTATCTTTGAAAAAACATGTGGCATGAGCATTTTAAGAGGCTGAAGATTAGCTAGTAACACATATTCAGCTCTGATGACGACGGTGTTTCGATTTCTCTCCTTAAATTATTAATGAGTTGAATATCCTTCCATAGTATCTCGTATATTGTGGAAAGTATATGAAAGGAAAAACAAATCAAACGCTAACTTAGAAACATTCTGTGCAAAATTTATCAAAACAATGTGACTGAGCATTAATAATACAACAAAACAGGTCTCGATTCGAATTGAATTTTGCGTCAACTGCAATTAGAACCTTTTTACCTGGTAGTAAATGAAGGCTGAGATGGGACTTCTATGTTCGAATGTGTGATACTCCATTCCGACACTCTGAAAAAAAATCACGATACAACCAACTCCTTTGATTTGAATTCCACATCGTGATCAATCATACAACAAAATATAGATTATTTTGAAAGACAGAAGTCTAACCGGACTGCCTGTGGTTCGCGAATCAAAACAGGAGATGGTTCATAGTCTTGTCTATCATCAGTCTCCGAACCTGATGAGGAACCAGAGGAAGAATTCGAACTTGAGGAACTTTTAGACATATTGAAGCCTTTCATCAAACGTTTCTTCCATTTTCCTGTCATTTGAGTGTTCACTGCACCCCATTAGATTTGTTTTTTGAATTCCTAAACAACCCAGAACGCCATTTTGTGAACTTCCAGAACACCGCGCGTTGCCTTGGTGCCGAGTTGTCATGGGAAGTACTGCTGACCATGTCCTTTTTGGGGCGCCGATAATCTGGACGCAAAAAAATTCTCTTCGTAAATAATCCTAAAATTTGAGAACTTGAGCCATTGAAATGTTTAATTAACGGTTTGTTTTAGATTATCTACACGTGTAAGATGGAGGAGTGAACTCTTTATAAAAAGTGTATTAACATTAAAGGTCTGTAAAGATATTATCTCATGTTATCCCTATTATTCCAATTTGCTTAACAATTCAAATGTGTTATCCTCAAGTTATTTGTATTTATGGTTACTTAACTTTCTAGACTCCTTCTAACGTTTTCTAGCCATGTTTATAATTAATTTGGTTGACTTTCTAAGTGTTTGTGTTATGTTTTAAGACTTTCGTTGATATCTCTTTTGTTGTTGAGGTAAGAGATCGTTGTGTACAACCAATGGTGTGAAAATTTCATTAATATTGCATTGTTCTAGAGCCAATGATCGAAGCGTTTGTTAAAACAGCAATCTAAAATATCTCTTACTTGTCAATCAACTTGTGCGGCGGAGTGTGTACACAACTTCCGATTCCTGAAAGATGTCGAATAACGCGCCCTTTACGAAGTCCAAAACAGAGAAGTTCCGTAAATCTCGCTCCGTATGCATGGCTTTTTTCTGTAGATGATGGATGATATAATACAAGGTCAGGAGCCTCAAGGTTTATTCTCCAAGCGTTCGTCTTCAAATATTCTCTCAGATCCAAGGATTTTGGCACATTTACGGATCGTGGCAGAAGAGGCTCAAAGCTCTGAGCAGAATCACGAACATGATGAAGAATCAGAGCTGCAGAACACGAAACGGGAGCTTGGGTTAAAGATAGCGGCTTACAACAAAGGAAACCAACATGGGGCATTCCGACTGATATTGAAAGAGGTACGAGTGATGTTTATCACGAACGAATATATTGGCAAAGGAATGTTGGCCTTAACCATCACTGAGGGATAATTATAAACGCTTATCTCGCTTTTCTTGTGTCTGGCACAGAAATAGACAACTTAAATCTGGCGGCGAAAATCGAGTTACAGTAACGATTAGATAACTTTTGAAATTAATCGTTTCAGTCGTTGACATTTTCTCATCAAACTGTCACTTACATTCCCTACATGTGGCAACCAGACATGCAGGACTAAAGCTAGCCAGCACTAGCGAACGAAGGTAGAATCGTATTGCGATAAATCGTATTGGCTGATTGTTGGTTCGATTGATGTGTGACTCGTGCAGCAGAATACTGAATCACCTGTGATGCACTATTTCAATTTCAGGATTTAGGTTTCGAGGGAGCTTTACGTTTCTACTTTGAGGACGGGAAAGAGGAACTAACAAAGGCTCTACGCCTCACCAACAAAACTCTGGTTTCGGAGCTGCTACCAACGCTGATCGAAAAGTTCAAGCCCGATTTGGCCAACTCGGTAGTCGAGAAGAAGGCCAAACTTTATGAAGTTTACGAAGAAGGTAAAACAGTCTAGATAATTAACAATCGGAGCTAGACCATAGCGAACAAACAATAATGGCACTCAGGCGAAGCGCTGTGCGATTTCAAGTATCCTTAAATAACTATCAGCGCGATTTGAACATTTAATCGAATAACGTTATTTGTAACAACAGGATCGAAAGCGAAATTCTCAGTTTATGATATTATAGTTTATACTTCGTAAGGTGCAAAGAATTTCATTGCAATTAAATTAACCTGATTTAATGCGCACTTTTTGACTTCCAATATACAAGTAATTGTTTTTTTGTAAAGTTTGCAGTGTTTACATTGCGGACCATTCCTAACATAGCAACGTTGACAGTCTTTATTAAAACTCCTATGAATCGAACACGGAAAAGGAAATTTACAATTGCTTTCTCAAAATCTTGGCATACAAATCACAAAATCTAACTTAAGTATGGAATAGTATGCCAAAGTGCGAACAATATGCGCAGTATGACTATCGTTAATATAATTAAACCTCGATGAGCTGAGTAATTAAACGTTACAATTACTAAATAGCGACGTTTTCGAGCTTTTAATTAACTTCGTTTTGGTACAATTTGCATGGTGAATGTGAATTCCTTCTTTTGGCATTTTTATAACCACAAGCCTATTAAATTCCATCATAGATATTGCACTAAATGTACCCCTTTGTAAGAATGTTTTAGCTCGACTTACCTTATCACTTCAGAAAGAGCGAATATTTCGCACGAGTATCACTAACAGGTCACATTTTTACAATTCGTTGATAAGTTAAAATTTTCAAAATTTTGTGAATATTTCATAAATGATTCAGCCAGTTTAAATAGTCTTCGTAATCTCCGAGAAAACTTTCAGTTTAGAAGGTAAGCGTTGTGTGTTCTTTTCCCTATACTGCTATTTATAAACAAAGAAAGAAAAAGATTGTTTTTGTTTAACTGCGATTATAATAGCTTTTCAAGTGGTACCTAAAGCGTAGAGCTTCTACACCACGAAATGCAGTTCTTCATAGGTGACTTATTAGATCCTAACATTGAGCTGTTTACACTAAAAACAATAAGATAAACTGTTAGCTCACTGTGATATTACTGTCAGTATTTTGCTGACAAAGCCAAACTATACAGTCAAGCTTCTCAAGTGGGCAAAACATATAAATTACTTTTTATTTATTATCAAACATTCTATAATATCAACACACTGGGGCAGTTTTGTATAATGATATTCTTGTAAAGGATGCATATATTTTTTCTATAGTCAGAATAAGCCCATTCTCTAAAATTTCTCGATTTATACCAACTTTGAAAGATCCATCATTTGTTTAGTGATAGTACAAAATTTGATAATAATTTCATATTTGCTGAGAAATTACAATTGGGCTTCCAATTCTTGTTCCAGGCACATGTGACGTAATAAAAGGGTAAGGATGCTAAAAATACACAGAACACTCACAGTAATTTTTTTTTTAAAGCAATGGCAAGATATTGTGTTCCAATTTAAATTTAGTAGCCAAGTAATTTCCCATGATTTGAAATTACATAACAAAAACTCCAAACATCTGTGTGGCTTGGAATGTCACATGATCTAAACATCTGTTGTTATGAACAATTTCAATTAACTATACTAACTCTCAACAGATCAGTAGGCATCTTACCTAAAAGGAGCAGCTATTAGGAATGATTCTTTGAAGTTTCTGTTGCACTTTTGCCCTACTGTTGCACTTTTTCATAATGTTTCTTTGATTTCCTTCTTTTTATTCCAACAACATCCACCTTGATATCTCTGCTCGTTTTTGCTGTGAGAATGATCTTATTTCCAATTATTATGATAAATTAAAAATATATTTGAAAACAAGAACAGTCAATCAGAGGGTATTAGGTCTAGGTTATCTTTTTTTTATTGAGACAAAGGCTAAAGAAATTATTAAATCGACTGCTACAATCATAATCACGAGCCTAGAGAAAACTGCAACATTTTAGTGAAAACAAGGTAAAGTACAGAGAAGATTATTTTGAAAAATGATACTTCCTATGTTTAATCATTGACCCCACCACCCAGAAGGGGTACTAAAGTTCACTTTGAAAAAAAGGAGTTTCATTTTTCACAGGTACCCTAAAACATACTCAATCACAAAGAAGAACTGTTGATACGATTAGCCTTCAGTTGAAGGTTTTAAATGGAATTTTTATCGATAGATCAAAAGATTAAAAGAACTACTCTAAGGAGCATATAATACTGTATCATGTGAGAGAGTAACTTGATGATCTCATGCTTAAAGCATGGTATTGACAGACCTTGATTGCCTTAAATCTGTTAGTTGGCTAAAGGTCAATTTTGTGTAGTGAAAGAAATGTGTTAAGACCATTTTCTTCTGTTGTAGATGAAATCTGTCTAGATCCTTCTGATGCTCCACTTGAAATTGCGTTGAATGCCAAGAAGCATCCAAGATTTGTTTTACGTTTGGATGTCAAAACTTCCCCTGAAACAAGTGCTGCATCAAATAGTGAAGGAGCCATAAACAAGACATCTGTGCCAAATGGGACAGCTTTGATTGATCATCCTACAAATCGTAGTCCAAGTCCATCACTTGCCAGCACCAGAACTGCTGGCAGTGATAACAGTTCTTCTGGAAGCTTTACTGGACAATCACAGTTAAGAAATGACAGCCCTTTACCAAGTAGAAAGCCATTTATAAAGCCAAAAAGTCCATCACCGACCCACAACACACTAAATGACAAAATGCCCTCATCAGCAAGAGGAGATAAGATGAGAAACTTTTTCAGTTCCCCAAGGAGTGCTCTTGGCATGTTTTTCGATGGAGCAGGGAATCAGCCAGATCAGAGTTCTCATGCCGCAAACAAAACTGCACGTTCAAAGCATAAAAGAAAGGGATCTCTTGGCCGTCTTAAAAAGAAGAAGGCAGATCAAAATACTACAACTGAACTTTCAACTGAGCAGATGGCTCCAGGTATTCTCAAGGTCTTTGGAGATCATGTTTCACCTGGCTCAAACTATAAAAGTGTGCGAGCTACTGAGATGACCACTGCAGAAGAAATTGTTCAACAGGCTCTAGAGAGATACTCACTTTCTACAGAGAAGGCTTCTGATTATCTGCTTTGTGATGTAATTGGATACTTTACCAAGAGAAAAGGCAATGTTAAAAATGCAGAGGAAGATGCTGATAAGTGGGAAACAGAATATGCCAGGGTTATTAGTGACCAAGAAAAACCTCTTGTGCTTCAACAATTGTGGAAGCCAATTGGAGGATTTTCTCGCAGATTTGAACTGCGGAAGCGGAGTGAAACTCAGGACTCCTCGTTTTTCAAACCAAGAGGTAGCATTGCAATTATGAAAGCTGCATCCATGCGTGAAGCCCATGTACCTACTAGTGTAAGGGAAATCCGTCGTGATACAGGACAAAGTGACACATCACACATTTCATCAAGTGAAGACCAGCTTTCAAGTGTCGGTATTGAAGAGGGGGGTAGTTCTGGGCGAGCATCTTTAATTGCATCACCATTTATTGCGCCCACGGACACACCACACCTTCTCCTTCTCAAAGGTTGTAGTAGCCCTGATGACTACTTATACCACAGGTTAGATGAACAGTTATCCGTGGTTGGTTGCCCTGTGCATCAGCCCGATAATCAATGTGCTGATATAATTCTATTTGCACCAGATATTTTACCACAACATTGCACTTTGATTAAAAGAGTGGAATCATCAAGTCCAGATTTTGAACAAGAATACAATGATTTGAATTTTGCAGTTTATTTAGAGCCTTCCAGAGGTGCTGACGTGTGCGTAAATGGTGCAGCTGTTTTATCTCCCACAAAGCTGATCCCAGGAGACCTTGTTTCATTTGGAAAGCATTACTATTTCCTATTCAAAGATCCCTCTCAAGTTGCGGATAGTTCCATGAAATTATCCTGGGTCAATTATTTGAAACAATTTCACAAGATGAAAATGGCTGAGGATGCAGAACATGCATCTGGTGTGCAAAATATTAATGACGGTGATACTAGTAATATTTCAAATGCCAAAGATGGTATTGATGTTCCTAATGAAGCACAGAATGGTTTACGATTGTCTTACTCTGTTCAAGATGAGGATTACCTGCTTGATATGATAATGAACATTGTAGATTTATCAGGAGATGGTTACAAATTATCCCCATCATATCTGTTAATCCTGTGCATTGAACACTCTGCAAAATATCACACAGAGCTACAAACAAGACAGCTTCTCGTCAAGATATCAAATGGAATCCAGACAGTTGCATCAGTGAGTTCAACCTTTTTTTTTTTCTGATACATGATCTCTTATATTGATTACAAGATTTGTCCTGAAATAATTACTATATCATGACCAATTCCTGTAACAGTTTTTTTATCATCATCCCATACCTGCTTGACATTTTGACATTGCTCTTTTCAGTTATATGCAAACACTAAGGTTCGGAGCCAAAACCAATATTTTGTTTCAAGCCACTAAAAACAGATTGAAACAACCCAAATGCGATTAATCAAATCCATAAAGTAGAACACAGGAACATGATTGGGCTTTTTGACTCTCTTAATTAGAGGTCATTAAAACAACTGCCAGCAACACGAAACACAGTTTCACTCATACTTTCATTTAAACTGGAAACAAACAAAAACAGAAAAATTAGAACCACAACATCATTATGCATTATTACTATTATTATTATGATTATTACCTATTATTACCATTGATA